CCTCCCAGGCCTGAGGGAAAGCCCCAGCAAACTCCTTGGCTGCCTGGAGTATGTGCCCACCAGCCAGGAATGTGCCTGTGCCTGTGGAGGGGCTGTGCTCCTGTGGCTCAGGGCATGAGAGATGCTCTGACAGACCATAACATGTAAGCCAAAGCACTGACCTGTTTCACAGAGGCTTTCAATGCTATCAAGCAGGGCCTTGCTCATGCAGGGCCAACTCAGCCTCTCCTGAGCAATGAATGAACCTTTCAGCCTCCTGCTCCTCTTGCCTTAATTACTGCTGAGGAGGTTTTGCAAGGGTTTCAGAAGTCATTTGGGCTGATTCATTTGGCTTTGAGATGTTTATGAGATGCTGGCCGTTTAGAAAGTGCTGATACTTGTCCCCTAAGGATCTACCTCCTTTAGCCGCAGGCAGTTTAAATCACCAGTGAGTGATTTGAATCACCAGATGTCTGAAGCACAGTTTAGCACCAGTATCAAGATTTGAAACAATCAACTCTGGCAAAGACTGCGAGCACTTGATTTAATGTAATAGCCTGGTTGGCTCAGCTCAGTCAGAACGTGCTGCTTCTTCCAGAAAACAAAAAAAAACCCAAACAAATCATGTGCCTCAGCTTCCCTTTTAATCATACACAGGTGATTAACTGCAGAACAGTTGTGGCCAGTGGAAAGAGAGTCACAGACAATGTCTCTCTGATGCTTAAATGGCTATAACAATGTTAAATTAAGACTTTGATATTTCTGTTCAATAATGATTGAGTATGGTTGGTTGTTAAATAATTTTGCATGGTTTTGGGGTGTAAGGACTGTTAATGTGTTTATTTAACCTGTCCTTGAGTTGCAGTCATGAGGTGAAGAGTTATATTTCCCCAGGCATGTCACTAGTACATTAAGGTAAAAAAAGATTTAAAGCCATCATTTTTTTAGGAAATCTCTTAGTGGTTCCATAAAGCTGAGCAGGATCTGTGCTTGTTACTGGTAGGCAGAGCCCTGTTAACTGGAGCAATCCTGATTCACCCCAGCTGAGGAGCCCATCAGGTGACCAGGCCGTTGCTATATTCAGAACCCATTTGGACAGTTTTGAATTTTATGCTTTCAAAAATAAGGCAATAAAGCAATTAGAAACAAATAACAGAAGGAGAGAGAGCACTTCACCAAAGGCAGCCAAAGATTATAGTGTGGCATAACTAATGCAGGGCTGGCAGCAGGGAAATGGGCTGTAACAACTGCACTGTCCCTAGGAGAGAGGCTGCAGGCTGAGATGCAGATGTCAAGTGCTCAAATGGCCAAGAAGCTTCTCTTGCCACCCAGCACAGTCTGGCCTGAGAATGCCCAGCTGTGGGACAGAAGGAAATAAAAGCATCCTCCAGAGCTGGGAGGATATGCATGTTCCTGCCAGTCCTTCAGTGTGTGTCAGCCAGAGGATTTATCCAACTGAAAACATGCTCCCACAACAAAAGAGAAAGGGAAATAGTGTAACCAGAAAGGCAGGAGCTTTTTTTAGGGAAAAATCCAAGGATGTCCTAAGAGGAGAACTGGGTTAAAAATATCAGGGAGTCTGCTGTGCCAGGGAAAGAATGAGTGGGCTTAAAGATAGGAGAGGCTGCACAGGAAAGGAGTTATCTACTTCTTGAGTGTTACTCATTTTAATTTGCCTTGTTACATGTCTGGAAGCACCAGGTGGAAATCAGGGCTTCATTGTGCTGGGAATTGAGCACAAACATAATGATTAAATGTTGCCAGCTCTGCAGAGATTGAAATATAATTCCTCATCTCTGCTGAATCACTAACCAGCATAATTATTGCCAAATAAATTTTTCTGTAATTGCTCTTCTGGAATATCTGTGCTACATGATTTTTTTCCAAGATAACCCTGCCTGAGGGAGTGAAAAGATATATCTGTACAAGGTCCAACCTAGTAGCCTTTACAGATAAAAAAAGCTGGTCAGAAGCAGAAAATTCTCACTACATTTAAATCCATGTTCAAAAATTCCTTGCTCGTATCTTGGTTTCTGTTTTTATAAAATGGGAATAGTCACGCTGCACTCATTGCTTGCTTTTGTTGTCTAACACCCATGATCAAGGCAAGAGTCCTCTGTCAGAGGTTTGGAGCACTGACATCATCACATACAAGGGCTTGTTACTGCTGATTGTAAAGAATGGGGATTAACTGGGTAATATACATTCTATCTTGTGTGTTTTCTGGGACAGGGCTTGAATTGCTGAAAGTTCCTTTTCTATTAGTATTTTCCTATTGGTTAATAACTGTGTAAAAACCAAAATGCAATCAAACAAAGAGTTAAAAAAAACCCACAAACAACTCAACCCTCAACTGGCCACAGCATGAAAGGGAAGCAACACAGCACACTGTCATTGAAGGGGTTTTGACATGATGACCAAATCTTTTGGGATTCTGTAACACTTCATGCTGCTGCTCAGAGGGCAGAGAGCAGCAGGACACACTGGCCACATCCTGCTTCAAATGCAGTTGTTTTCTGGCCACAATACAAAGAAATCCTTCTGTCTAAGAACAGTAAATTCTCCCCTGATCCTCAGAGCAAGATCAGGTCAAGCCAAGAGGACAGGAATATGATCCTGCTGGTCACCCACATTTCCATACTGAGAATTACAACACCAGGTGTCTTAACCAGTCAGCATTTTCATTTGTGAGGCTCCAGCTTTTAGCTGTTGTGTCCTTATCCTACATTCAGTAATTTGTGTGAGTTTTGACAAACTGGAAGGTGCTGGGAGGGGACTGGGAGCTGCAGTGCTGAAGCAGAGCATCTGTGCCAAGGAAGGGGCTGAACAGAGCAGCCCTTCCTCCTTGGTCTCCAATCTCTGGCCCTCACCTCCAGCCTCTATGGCAAAAGAAGGCCTGAAACAAGTGCCATGGGCTTTCCCTGCCTTTTCATACAGCAGAGGAGACCAGTGTATGTTAAAATGTGAGAAATGTGCTCAGTTTCCTCCAGACAGCCATCGCTCTGTTTGGCACTCACCTGGGAGCCACAGTCCCTGGCTTTGAGGAGGAGCTTGTTTGAGGGAAAGAATCAAAATTGCAATATCTCATTTTGCTGGTTGCAGAAATGATGAATGAAAAGCAAAGCAAAGGATCCCCAAAGATTGTGCATTTAAAGAAAACAAGTTAAAGAGATGAAAAGAAATCCTTCCCTGTTTTTTAAAGCAGCCTTGGAGCTTTTAGGAATTCCAGCTCAGAAGTTTAGAGTAGCAGCTAGAGGGGATCATTTACAAGTTGCCTTTTCCTGATTTCATATTCTGTCTTTTAATTCTTCCTAGGAAAGAATAGGAACTTTGAATTACAAGCAGCTTGAAAGATTAAGCAGGCAGAAATCCCGCGGCTCTACCTGCAGCTTTGCATTTGTTATTTTAAGTTTTGACCGGAGATTGACCCGGTGTCAGCGGGTGCTAAAGGTTACCCGAACACTCTCACTTCACTGACTATGGAAAGTGGATTTTCCCCAGTCTCTATGAAATGGTCTTGCAGTCCCCTCTGCTGGTGGCAGCTTGCTGGGGAGCTGCACCGTGCCACCACATGGGACCTGCTTGGTCCTCCATGGAGGCTGCAGGAGATCCCCCAGCCCCCACGGAACAGGCACCAACTCCTCCGGAGACCAGGAGGTTTTCCTTACCCTCTCTGCATCCTTAGTATGAGCACCTGGCACCTCTGACACAGAACAGCAGGAAAAGGTTTTTTCACAGGAAAGGGTGAAAAAATTAACCACGGATAAACTTACAAAAACCCACCCTGCCTGGGAAAGCTGAGAGCAAATTATCTTGCCCTGGGGAATGTATGGCTTGATATGTTTGTTGAGCTTGTGACCAAATATCACCTGCATGTCTTTAAGGCACACATTCTTGTGTCCCTTAGAGCCTGGAGCAGGGCTGCTCCAGGCTCTGGCAGCACTGCAGCCCTACAGCTTCTCCAACAACTCTAGCATGGCCACTGGGATCCACTTTCAAAGCAACCAAACCATAGTTTTCCCCAAGAAGGTAAAAACAGACGTTCAGAGAGGGGCTATACAGAAAGTCAGCGTTGATGTGTCCTGGAGAATGGAGCAGGGCCAGCAGCACAGGGCAGGGTTGGCTCTCAGGGATGTGGGGTTTGAGCACAGCCCATGATGTGTAGCTGCACGTGCTGAATGGTGCAAATCTTCCAGCACACAGGTGAAGTTCAATTCCTGGATGCAGAGAGCACCCAGGAATTTATGAGGCTGCTGCTGGAAAAGTCTTCCTGATCAGCTCACACTGACCAGCGTGGGCAGTGGAGGCAGAGCTGGCACAGGACAGTGGCTGGCCATGGCTGGCACTGTGCCAGCGCTCCCTGCCAGCCAGCCTGTCTGAGGAGGAAACCCAAGTGACAACTCTGATAACAGCCCCTGCTCGTGGCTAGGGGCCCTGCATGGGAGGGCAATTTCTGAAGGAATCATCACTAAAGGGATTACCTTGTATGCATAAACCCTCCAGAAACCACTGCAAACATCATGCTATGGCACTAGCATAGGCACCATGAAGGGATGTAGTAGAAAAACTAAAGGTTTATTTTTTTTAATAAAATACATCCTTACAAAATAACCATTTTTCTCCCAGGCAGAGGGCTGGGGATGGTTCCTGCCAGCTCTCCTTCCTTCCCCTTCTCAATTTGGAACTGTCCAGCGGTGCTTCTGGGGCAGAAGAGGCAGCTGTGCTCTCCTCAGGCTCTTCAGGTGCCAGTGACCTGGCACAGCCCTGGCACACCAGGCAGGTGCAGTGTGAGCTCCTCTGAAGGGCCTGCAGAGGCAGCAGACCCAGTGCCCTGCAGAGGGCTGGCAGAGGGCCCCAAGACCCCTTAGTTTGACCCATCCACAGCATCATGGCAGGTCCCACCACAGGCTGTGTGCTGGGCCAGCCAGCCGCTGCCTGGCTGCAGGGCACCACCTCCCATGAGCTGGTGCTGGACGCTGCTTCTGCTGGTCTTGGGGCTGGCCCAGGGAGGTGATGGGATGGCGACCATGTTTTAGGAGAAGAGGAGGAGGAGGAAGAGGGGTGCAGGTCTGTCAGTCAGTGTGGATTCTGCTGAGAGAGAGGTGCATAGTGATTTCTGGTCTCTCACCCCCCAGTGCCCTTTTTCAGGAGATGCTGCCAGCAAAGATGCAATGCCAGACCCACATCCTGCATTTGCTGCTGCCCCATCCAATTGCTTATGTTGGGAAGTGCTGACCCCATGTTAGGCACTGCAGCCCACAGCTCAGGTCTCCTCCAAGCCTCCCTGGATCCCTGCTGCCTTCCTGAAAGCCTCCTGCCTTCTCAAACACCTTGGAATAGCCCCAAGCCCTACAGCCCTCATCCCTGACAGACGTATGCTAGCAGGGCTGGGGAAACACCACTCACCTCTCACTGTGTGTTGTCTGGCTCCTTTACCTTCTTATGTGACTTCGACTGGGGGTTAAAGGAGAGAAAAAGATTCTTTTACAGACCTGCTCCTCTCTAATGTCAGGGAAATGTGACTGGGCAGCAACTCCTAACCCCCAGTGTACACACATATTTTCAGATGAATTTGAGGGCAACTGTTTCTGTGTCCTTTCAAAGGCCATGAAACATTCCATAGTCATGGAGATATTCTCAAAGAGCAGAAAAAAAATTTCCTAGTTTGCTAAGGCACAAATCTGCCGCTGCTTCCCTTAAAGCAATGCAAGTGTTCCCAGATATTGGAATATCTGGGGTTAAAGGCAGAGAATAAAGTTGTTAACAATGAGTCACACACAACAGCTCAGTAATTTTGGAGAGAAGATTCATGGATCCCAGTCTCCAACAGTCCCAAGGGCTCAGGAAGGCGCCTGGTTGCCCCTCAGCGTGGATGTTTGTGTTACAGCATCATTACTCATGCACACATCCACACACACCCCTGCAAGAGCCTCGGCAGGGCAGCACTCACTGTTACTTACAGGCTCCGGTTCTGCATATTTGAATTTCTTCTGCTTGTAATAGTCTCGTCCGTGGAGAAAATGCAGCAGGAGCAGGTCACAGAGGACAGAGGCCTTGAATCAAAATGCAGTTAGGTTTGGAGTTGCCCTCCAAGATTACCTGGACCAGTGTGTACTTCCAGTTTTTCCCAGTTTGCCCCACAATTTAGGGTCACTTCTGCTTCATCCTACAACATGGCAGTTGCTGAAGTCTCCAAATGTCCATTTAGGACAGAAGTGAAGTGTGCTGTATTCAATATAAGTGATTTAAGCCAACAGAAATGAAATGTTTCCCCTTTAGGTAGGTGCAGAGCACAGCAGCCTTTGAGACATTTCCAAGTCTTTAACAACCATAACCAAATCACACACTGGGTTTCTGTCCTGAATTAAATATAATACTGACAATCACATGCAAATCCTCCCTCAATGCCAGCTCTAACTTGAAACTATCAGGATACCAAGAGAGCCAGCCTTCCCTTCATCAGCAGGGCAGAATTCACATCAGCCAGGGACCAGCAGGAATCTGTTTTCCTGAGCTGGCAAGGCAGGAGAGCACCTCCTTTCCCCTTTTGCCCATCCTCTGATTCCTTGAGCAGTAGCCAGTATTTCACTGCAGCTCAAGGACACTTCCCACGAATGTCACAGGCAAGAAGAATAATTTGAGAGTCTCCATATAGAGGCTGGAAATATCTGAACTTACCACTCCAAAAATACCAATTCCAGAGCCAATTGTGGTCATGGTCGGGATGATGTCAAATTTGCCTGCCTGGATAAAGTCAGAGAAAATAGGTGATAAGTTACAGTCAGCCCAGAGGGAAAAAAAAGGGTGCTCTAGCTGTAGGTGGGGCTCAGCAAAAGTGCCTTGCAGCAACCCAAACCACAACCACAGCACACAGAGAAACAGGAGCTAGGAAAGAGCTGGTCAAACAGAAAAATATTGTAGGTTGGTTTTAGGCTGAAATAAATTGAACTTACTTTTCTTCCTGTACTTTTAATATAAAAAACCCAACCAAAACCAAGCAACCAAACAAAAAAGTATATAATTTGAATATTCTCCATAGGAACACAATAAGAGAAGACTTCGCTCCCAGTGGGAAGAAAAAGACAAAATAGAAAAATGCAAATGTTCAGCTTTTACAAATAACAGTAAAAGGCTTTGAGTTTACACAAGTCCTCCCCACTCCCATCACAATTTTTTTTTTAGACAAAACCACTGATCAAGGCACAGCTGAAAGATGTGACCTATAAAACATGTTTTCCACCTCTCTTCCCTTCCCCAGAATTTCCCAAGGGTTCCTGTGACCAGGCCAGCACCCAAGGAAAGCATTCACACTAATTTTCCTGATCCCACAGGACCCTGGTGCTGTGTTCCAGAGCTGGTCCCTTCCAAGGACATGGCTCTGCTGTCCCAGGGACCCAGAGGATCCACCCTTACCTTGCCATTCACCAGAATGTCGAGCCGGATCCCAAACACCTTGTAGAGTGTCCTCTTTTCCATCCCATCTTCTCTGTAGTATTTGGCATATCTGTGCAATTGGATGGTGAGTGTTAATGGTCTGCCAGGGGGTCCAACAGCCCTACAGCACTGGGATCTTGCACAAAGATCTGGGAATGTGCTATCACAGACCTGCTCCTGACCTTCTCCTCAAACCCCCTGCAGGAGCTGGGCTGTTGGCACCTCTCCTCTCTGTGCCTCAGTTTCCCTGCCTGCAGGATGGAGTTCCAGCTCCTGCTGTTTGATGTCTCCAAGTTTTATCTGTAGCAGATAGTGAAGCACTGGTGACAGAGTCACACAGAGCAGAGGATAGACACTATGAGAACACATGAGATGATCCTACACCATCTCCAGTCTTTCAAGGGGCTTCCCAAAAGCTCAGCCAAGCAGGAGAGCCTGCAAGGGGGAGGAGATGGAAAGGAAATGGGGCAATTTTCAAGGCAAGGGCTGTATTATCACTTTTCTCATGCCATTTAAAAGAGCACTGGTACTGCTGCCTGGCTCTCCAAAGGTAGTGAGTATTTTGAAGGACACTCTCTGGCTTTCCACCATCCCTTGAACGGAAACCTGGAAGCTGTCACCTCTGAATTACACTTTGAGAATCAGCAGGTATTTCCTTACCTGAAGTTGAACCCTGGTGAAACATTGCTGTCATCATTGTACAGGCCATGGAACTGGTAAATGGGTTTGCAGTAGCGCAGGGGCCAGTCGAGGTCACAGTTCCAGTCTATGGTGATGCCCACCACTCCACCCTGCAGCCAAGAGGGAGTCACAAGGTTGGCCCTCCTTGGACCTGGCCCACAGAGAAATGCTTTCCCTCCTCACAGGTGTCCTGTCTCAATGCCATGAGGTGTCCTGGCTCTCCAGATGCACGGACCCCACTGCTGCCTCAGCCTTCCTGAGCAGCCCTGGCTTTGTGGCCTGTACATAACCCCTTGCAGAGGCTCTTGTTTCTGTCCTGAGTGCTGGATACACAAATAAATTCATGCATTCTTGTTCCTGATCAGAATCCTGTGCCCAAGGCACGGTCCTGAGAAACAGTGCTCACCACAGATCCCTCCTGGTCCTCGTGGGACAGCCTTCCCTTGCCTTGATCATGCCTAAGAGGTTGCTCAGGAAATGCAGGAGTCTGTCATCCCTCCTGAGCTCACTCCAGGCTGTAAATAGCTGTGCCCCAGAGACTTGTATCTTTGCACCTTTAACATGTAGAATCTCAGAATGGTTTGGGTTGGAAGGGACCATAGAGACCATTTTGTTCCAAACCGTGCCACAGGCAGGGACACCTTTGGTTAGACCAGTTTTCTCCAGGTCCTGTCCAACCTGGCCAGGAATGGGGCAGCCATAGCTTCTCTGGGCCATCTGATCCAATCCATGCAATAAACGTTCACATATGCAAGACTCTGATTTTATTCAATGCCTGGCAAAGTGATCACAAGGTTTTGCAGCAGAGATAGCAGACACTCCCACACACCAGCCTGAGGAGTGTTAGGCAAAGCTGCATTTTGGAGCCAGGGGAAAGGCTGCAGTTAGCACTGTGCAATGACCAATATTTGACCATCCAGCTGCGATTTCCAAGCTCAATCAGATGGGATTTGGCCACACAGATCTAGTTATTCACGGCTCAAATTGAAACAAGCTGAACCCTGGGATTTACTGCCAGGGGGTCAAATCTTCTCAAGAGTTTCCAAGAAAAATGTAAATATTAGGCCATGTCCAAGGAGATTCATAATCTTTATGAGATAATTCTGACACTTGTTTTCTCAAGAATTCTTGAGAAAACTGAAAATCATCTCAACAGCTGGGGGTGATTGCACTGTTGAGTGTCCCTTTCCCATCAACAGCAAGGAACATAATTTGAAATTGAAGTACCTTAACAGCCAGGAAGGTAAAATTCTGACCCGATTCCTTCACTATGTACCCCAGTTCAAACACAGGACACAAGGAATCAGTGACTTTGTGATAGGTGCATTTCTTCAGGTACTGCTTGGTAACGCTCTCAACCAAGTTGCGCCTGTGAAGGAAAAGAGAGTGAGGAAAATTCTCAGTAACACAATAATTTGGGGGGGGGGGGGGGGGGAAACCACTCCCTTCCCCAGTCCATGTCACTCTCCCATTCACATGTGACTTGTCCATGGGCTCTGCTAGGCAGTGTTCTGAGCTCCAGCAATTCTTATCTGGGACACCTCATGGATAGTGAGTGTATCCCACACCTTTCACATTTAGCTGGAGTTTGCTATCTCCTACAGCAAGGGTTAAAAGGAAAGGGCAGCTTCTTGCCTTCCATCCCACTCTGCTCTTTTGCCCAAAAACTTCCTGTGGTTTTGTAAGCCTTGTGCCTTGCTCCAACTGATCCCATCTCTGATGCTCAGCAGTAAATTGTCAGCAATGATCAAAGGCAGGAAGTTTCCCCACAGCAGCGAGCCTGGCCACCCTCACTGCCAGGACCTGCTCCCTCTCTGTGTCCCCTTCAGCCTGTCCTCACCTGGGCCACCTCTCCTTCAGCTGGAGGGGATCCCCTCTCCCAGCCACCTCCTGGGAGGTGTGAGGTCAGCCCAGGACTTTGCCAAGCATGCTGGCTGCCAGGACACTTAACCTTGGCTGCAGCACAGGGACAAGATCAGCTTAGAGAAAAGAATCCGCTGTCTACAGCACAAATAGCTTCTGTTAATTTGTTCCAAATCAGATATCTGGTGAGTCTCATCACAAATTCTCTTAGGAGTGTGCCTTCAGCCAGCAGCATTTCCCCCGATGCTGCCAACCCCACCCTTTGCTGAAACAGGTGGGATCTGTGATGTTAAGGGGGACTCTGGGACACCAGGCTTATCCTGGCCATGAGGTATTTTAATTTTGTCTTTAGAGAAGAAAAATGAAAAATCAGAGTACTGATTTGCAGCTTGTGAGGGTAACTCAGGAGAGGTTAATTCCAGAAATCTTTCCAGTAACTACAGTTACCAGCTGAGGTGGGACAGAATTGGCTGGGAAATGGGTCAGTTCCTATGAGCTAATGTGGGGGGTCAGTGCAGCAGTTAGAGTAGTCCTGGGATCACTGAGAAGATGAGGTGGGCAATCCTCCATACCAAGCACCCAGTTACACCCATCCAGCTGAACCCATGGTTTCCTCTGAGGGACACAGATGGAGGAACTGACCAGGAGCCGTCCCTCCAAACCTCTCCTTACCTGGACACCTTGAACTTGGGGAAGGTGATGCTGTTCTTGATGAACAAGGTGAACTTCTCTGCTTCTGACAGCAGGGCAGGGCTGAAACACACAAGTGTAGGCATGTGTCCACCACTTGGCTCTCCAGGCTCTAGAGGAAGCTCCATTTGGTGGAAATTCACCCAAACTGAGACAAGCAGACCCAGAAAACTGGTGGTCTCATCCCTTCCCTTCCTGCTCTTTCACAACACAGGCTGTCCTGGCCACATCACATAGAGCCCCAACTTGGCTGCTCCACATCAAGTGCAGCTGGGATGGGAAAGAGGGCACCAACATCATTCCTTACCTGGGAACATGGTAATCAACTTCAACAGGGCACCAGCCAAAGATCTCACAGGTCTTCACAGTGCTGTTGAAGTTCACACACTTGCCAGTCATGAGCCCTGTGGGGGAGACAGCTGCTCACACCCTGCATCCTGTGAAATCTCAGCCTCACACTGGGATGGATGGGATCGGGTTGGGGCTTCAGCTCTGCCAAGGGCATTCAAGACACAAAGTGCTCAGGGCTTTGGCACCTTTCTAAAGCAATTAGGAAATTAATTGTGGCCTCTCCACTCAGGGCAGTGGTTTCTCTTACAGTGTTGTACAAGAGAGCAGCTGGAGATTTTTCTTGTTAAAACACAGCTAAGAAAATGCTGAACTGATAAGAGGACAACAGTTTGGGGGAAATGGCTTAGTCCTGATTAACCTTTTGTTTGCAGCTCAGGTATCTTTCAAAAGAGCAGAGCTGGAACCTTCAACCAGCATGTCAGAGGTTTTCCTGTTCAAAGCAGGTCCCCCAGCCAGGCAGCTTTTCTCAGTGCTGTCTCACCAGAAGCACCAGGACCGTGTGCCATACCTTGTCCCTGCCGGCTGTATTTCCCTTTGCTGCAGTCGCTGTCCTGTGTGCACAGCCCGGCATCTGGCAGCTGTTTGGAGAAAGCAGCCACCTCTTAGCATCCCACCCTGCAGCTTCAATCCCCTGTCCCTCCTGCCTCACCAGACAGCATTTTTTTTTTGAGGGATACACTGCTCAACTGAAGCCAGAGCCTTGTTCATGTTATAGATTACAAGAGTTCTTTTATCATTATATGTTGTCTTATGTATCTAGAGTTCTTCTATCATTATGGTGCAAGGGTTCCATATCCTCAGAGTTTCATACCTGCTCAATGTCTCTCATAGACATCTCTTCTAAGCACTTCCTGGTCCCTGCAGCAGCCATCTGACTCCTCTGCCTCCAGTTCCCACCAATTCAGTCTTTTATACCACTTGTTCTTATTTGCTACAGGTGTTGCCTGTTATCATCCAGCCTGCTCCTAATCTTTAGTAATAGGGTCCAGCTGGAACTCATTGGGGGATAAGATTACATTCTACATTACCTTCATTTATCCATGCTGTGTCCCCCTACAATATACTGCTTCCCGACCAAGGCTGTCCAGATAAAGCAGGAAAAAGGGCAATTTATTCACTCTAGGCCTCAAGTCTGCTCTGCTTGATCATCTCAAAGGGAAGAAAACTTAAATGGATGCCACCTGTTTTTCAGCAGAATAAAAGTCTTCACATTGCACACAGGAGTCAGGAACATTAAACATGGGGCCAGGCCCTGGCTCTTAATAAACCTCCCAGTGTCAGAAAAAGTCTTTCCACCACAATCCCTCTGAATTACAGAAGCTTAGCCCACTGAAGGAAGCTGGTGTGTTTACCTCTGGGCAGGTTCCTTGTTTCTGTCCAGGAGTGACAATGAAGTTGGTCATCACCACAAACGAGTTGTCCCCCTGTGGAGACACAGCCAAAGAGCTCACAGCCAGCACAGGGTCCCTTCTGTGAGGAGCCTCTCCCTGGGTGGGGACCTGCAGTGCCACCAGCCCCAGGGACACTGGAGGACCCCACTTGCTGCCTGAGACGGTGCTCCAGAGGCACTGGAGGAACCTTGATCCCTTTGGAGGCAGCCTCCAATGTGCCTCCTCAGCCAAGTCCCAAGTACCAAATGCTCCCCAGGGAGAACCTGGGCAGAGGTTTGGACAGAAGCAAACTCCTTCCCACCACAGGGACACCCTGTCATGCTTAGCCCCATGGAAAGCCTATGCCAAGGACCCATCTGCACCCCAGCACAGGAGGAAAAGCAGCCACTGGGACAAAAGCAAATCCCTAACCCACCCACCCTGACTCCTTACCTGGGGTGGGAAAACATAATCCACCACATCCCAGATGTGAGGACCCAGGACACTCTCGTTGGTCAGTGTCAGCCCTTTCAACTTCACGGAGACCGAGCTGACGATGCTGTCCTGGGACTGGTAGCCCTTCTCGTAGAGGAACACCCACCTGGAACAGGGAAGGGTGGCAGGGTGAGCATGGCCACCAGCACTCCTCCACTGGCCAGATCCTCAGCACACACCTGTGCACTGGGGCTTTTTCTACCAAGTCTCACCTGGGGAATCATTTGCCAAGTTTCTTCCTGCTGGACAAGGGACATGTTGCTGAAATTTCCTACCCTTTGCCTGAGGCATGTGGTAGCTGTAGGACCCAACTTTCATGCCAGGATGATGTGTTTTGGGGACTGGGACACATTTTGTGGCTGAGGGTGTGTGAAGGCAGGTGGAGCACAGTAGCCATCAGTCACTTAGGGTTAAAGCCTATAGCAGGTTTGCAGCTGCTGGTCTCAATGACCCACCCCAACACTCCTGACCTCCTGATTCACTGCAGAGAAACTCTCCAAAACCCAATGCCTCCAGCACCAACGCAGAGCTGAGTCTGGACACAGTTCACATCCAGAGCCAGTGTTTTCCCATCCAGCAGAGGGAATGTGGAGCAATGGCTCTGTGTGCAAGAGGGCTGCACGAGCAGGGTTAGGGACACTCTGTGGCCAGAACAGGGCTCTGCCTGCCTTTCCCAGCCCATCACACAGCCATTAGGACAGGCTGCTGACACTATTTAACCTAGAGCATAAACAAGCTGCCGCTGGATTAACTCTGACTCAGGGACACTATAAACATGGGCAAGCACCCATTTCGGGTGGTGCCTGCGGCGCCGCGCAGCATTCTCGGCACTAAAAAAGGAGCGATCTGGATTTTGTCCCCTCTGCCGCAGGCATCGGTCCCACTGGCTGTGACAGGCAGCAGGATACCCATGGGACAGCCCATGACACCAGCCTGGTGTGTCAAACTCCCCTCTGACACCTGGCTGATGGGCAGAGGGGAAAATGGGGAACCCCAGGTGCTGCCTGGAGGTTTTCTGTTTGGACTTTCTTGGAGAGGGAGCTTTTTAGCTTGCAGCCACATCAGCATCCCAGGACTGAGGGCTAGAGGACCTCAGGGGTGGCATCTGCTCCAGAGCATAGGGATGGGAGCAGAAATTCAGCACTGCTGCCACTGCAGCTGGGACACCCAGCTCCAACATCCTCCTCCAAGGCAGAAGACCATACTGAGTTACACTGGGCATCTTCCCTGATGCCCTCAGGACTGCAGAAGGATGTGAACTGGGCAGAACATTTCTCTAGATCAGCCTCCAGCACAGACTCTGCTGCTGACCTTACCCTGTCTGGCACAGCTGACTATGGGCACACAGGGCTGGGCAACCCCACCTCCCCTGCGGCAAAGCCAGGGTCACAACAAACAAAACCATTTCCCAGGAGGCTGTAAATGCTGCAGCAAGTCCTGCCCAGGTTGTAAAAGTCCCCTGGTGTCACACCCTGATGTGGTAGAGCCACCAAGCCCTCTCCCTTTGCTGGCCTCATCCTGTGGCTCAGCCCACAGCTCCTTGCATGCAAGAATTCAGGAAGTGAAACCCAGAAAGTGCCCAGCATCTCCTGGGCAGCACTGATACCACCTTATCACAGCCATCACAGGAAAAAGAACTGCTCCCCAGGGGTGACACGGGGTCTCACAGGGGGGCTGGCCCCATTTCTGTGCACTGATGGCACCAGCCATGTCCTTCTAACAGACACACATTTCCATGAGCATCCCATGCCTGCTGTGAAGGGAGGACAAAAGCCGGGAGAATGGTAAATAAATACACATTTGGCTGCCAAATTTGTTTTCAAAGGACAGAAAATCTCAGGCATTGTGGCTTGGTGAGGGCAGCGAACTGGGGGCAGTGTTGTGGGCAGAGAACTGGGAGTAGTGCTGTGGGAAGGGAACTGGGGGCAGTGCTGTCAGCAGCGAGGGGAAGCCAGGGGCTGGTGGGGCTGTGGGCAGCTGCAATCATAGGCAGCCCCTTGCTAGAGGAGCCCCGTCCCAACAAACCAGGAAAAACTTGGGAATTCCAGCAACTTCATGCCAGATTCCTCTGCTCTGCCACTGGCTGTCAGCCCCTGGCTGGTTCTCTTCCTGCTCCCTCCTGGTTGCCTGTCTCACTTCAAGTTGCTTAAGTCACGTTTCCTTAGTTGCCCTGCAGAACCATCTGTGCCAGTCCCCCATCACAGGAGCAGCTGCCCCCAGCCACATTTGGGACTGGAGCCCTGGGACTTCACAGGCTCAGTCCTTAGAAAAAACAAAGCTGCTCCCAGTAACACCAGTGCAAAACTCTTTGCAACAGAGCATCCTTGAGACCTCGGTTGCAGTTTTGCATGAGGATTACCCTTGGCAGCCAAAGTGCTGGTGAGCATGGTGGGATTAATGGGGGGACCAGCATGGGGGTTTCACACTCGTCCCCTGAGAAGGTTTTTACCCTTCCCAGGGAGTCTTTGCTAAAAGGAGGGATGAGCACTTCTGCTCCCCACAGTGACTCCCTTGCACTGAGGCCTGGGAGCCACTGCCTTTCCTTTGCATGAGACACTCTGCACCCCCAAAATTCCCAGGTTTTCCAATTCATGGCCAGACATCCCCTTTCCTTTCAAACATCCTGCCCTGGGGCCCTTCCCAGTGAAAGTGTGCTGATCCTACAGCAGCCAAGGCTTACCAACCATCACATCCCATCGCGTCGTCCCACGCTGAGGGCACAGGCACAGAGTAACTTCAGCAGGAGCAGCAGCCCCAGGGCACCTGAGGACACACATCCTCACCCATTCTGATCCCGCCTGCTCCACTCACTGCCTTTTTTAAGCAGTTGCCCTTGCTTTTGGAGCTGCCTCCCAGAAGCAAATAAGACCAGGAATTTTGGAGCCAAGCTGCGTCTCGGCCGCAGTGTCAGAGCGGTGAACAGGGAGATTTATGGCCCTGTCTTGAGCCGCTCGGGTCTCACAAATCACTGCACTGGCCCCAAATGCCTCTTATTTAATATAAATGAAAATAAAAATAACAACAGATTCTCAGGCCACCGTCCAGCAGCTGGAGCAGGATCTGGATTCTCTTCAGTGAGAGGACGGGGCCGCGGTGTGCGGAGCAGGGCTGGGCAGGGATGGATGAGCCTCCAGCCTGGACATACAGGAGCTTCTGGGGAGGAGATGGGGACTAAGCAGCCATCCAAAAGAGCCATGGAGGGACACTGGGCTGTATGGGAGCAGCCACAACCAGGGGGATGTGAAGCCATTAGCAATAACCCCCCTGCACTGGGATGTAGGGGATATAGAAGCCTTTCTCTCTCCATTGCTTTTTAAGCCAGTGGCAGAGCATTAATGTCAGGGAAAGCAGGCGCTGGGCAGCCTTACCCGATGATGTACGCCAGGACGATGAGCTGGATCAGCCTGAAGGTCAGTCCCACCTTCTTGTTCCTCACCAGCACCATCCGAGGGGTGTCATACTCGAAGAGGAAGGAGGACAGCTTGTCCATGCACTTCTGCCCCATGGCTGTGCCAGGGCTGTGCCACAGCCTCCCAGCTCTTCACTGCGCCCTGGGTTGGGCCGTGCCCGCCGCCGCTCCGGCAGCTCCTCTGTTTGCAGATTAAAATAACAGAATAAGAATTGCTATCGGCGTGGCTCTGAGCACATCTGGGCTGCCGGGTTTCCTCCTCTGCGCAGGGATGAGGCTTCCTCTTCCTATAAGCTCTGGGCTGGGAACAGCGGGTGCCCTACATGGTCTGGGGGTGGGACAGGGTGTGGGAGGGTGCAGGGCCACCCTGTTGCCAAGCCCACATGCCACCAGGACGAAGCCATCTGTCTGTGAGTGATGCTCCCTCGCCTGGCAGGAGCCTTCCCTGGGGACAGAGAGGCTGCAGGCAGGGCTTGGGGTGAGCAGAGATCACGAGGCATTCCTGGGGGCAACAGTAGGATGGGAGAGATTGTGGGGGTCCTGGGAGAAATTTTAGGAATTAGGATTGGGGTATCTTTCCTACCACAACAGCCACATCAGGCTGTGTGTCCTGAGCCCATGTCCTCTTCTGTCTCCCAAAAAAGGGTCGGGAAAGAGAAGGGGGAGCACCAGAAAGCCCAGCTCAGCAATTCAGAGCTGACCCACGGAGCAGAAGGGCACCCAGCTTGGCCCCCTCCCATGGTGAGGCCAGACAGCTGGGGCTTGGCTCCTTCCCAGCACTTGCACTGGGCTGGGCTGGGTGCACTTGGAAGCATTTCCAGCATTTCCTGAATGGCCTGGATGTGAGCAGGGCCAGGCGAGCCGGGGTCACTGCGAGCGATGCTCTGCAGGATGGTGCAGACACTACTTAAAACAAATGTCACTGGGAAAGGGACTGGATTTGACAGTGCCGGACTGAAATTTGGGGGGCCAACAGCTGCAATGGGGAGCTTTGAAGGGGGTGGCTCATTGCTGGGGAAAGCACAGAGGCTGTGGATGGGGGACCCTGTGCCCTCTGTGCATCCCTCTGGGCAGCTCCAGGGCACACTCTGTGCTGGGGAGCACTGGGGCTGAAAAGGGAACACTGTGTTTGTGTTTTTGGGGGAAAGAGAGGATGTTTATCCCAGAAATCCCAGCACTCAGCTGCTTCAGCACTCCAGGCACGGACAGGCTCCATGAGCCTCAGTTCATCTGCTGCCTCCCTTGGTCTAAAAGGAGACACTGGCTCTCTGCAGCCACCGAGCCTGGCATAAAGGCCCTCTCTGCAGGAGGAATAGGTTTTGAAAGTAGGGAAAATCTTCACCTGCTGGGATCTTTCCTTTCAGCAATATTTCTATTAGTATCACCACCTCTCAAGTTCACTTGCAGCTTGCTCACTGTCACATTTACCTTTCGACTCAATACATTACAGACCTGACAACTGTGAAATAATTGGGAAAAATCAATTGTCTTTGCTGGGCAATAAGGAAAACTGGGGAAAAAGCAACTGAATAATTTATCTGAATCTTTTGGGCGTACCATGAAGCCTGGGAATCAAAATCAGATGATCCCACGTTGCAAGTAACGTGATGCGATCCCAATGCCCCGGTCCTCAGCAACATGGAAAGCTGTCAGACAAGGAGCCAAAAGCAAATACAAAATGCTGATGTTAATCATGTAGATTGAAGGCTGATACTGCTATTGAGTGGAGCAGACAAACCTTATAAGCTTAGATATCTGTCAGGAGAGAAGCAAATAACTTACTGTATGAAACGAGGCCTTTTAGGGAAGGCTGCTCACCCTTGCCAAGGCCATGGGGATAATGAAAATAGGACAGCTAAATTTAACAGCAAAATGACTTGTAAAAAAGTCACTTCTAACCTCCTCTCTGGTACTTGGAGTCAATAAAATGGTTATAGCATGGATTTAGCTAAAATACTTTCCATTGGGAGATAATAGGCATCTGCCATTTTATAATCTCTTGGAGCCATGTTGCAGCTGGACAGAGGGGCCAGACCCCGTCTGGAGTGATGTGGAGAGCAGAAAACCCCAGCCTGGAGCACCAACAGAGCCTGAATCTTTTCCTGGGCTGACACCAGCACCCAGCATGGGCACCCACTTGGCCACAGCATCCAAATGCTTGGAAAAACCACAGCCTCAACACTTGTGGGCTCACACCTCTCCCACACCCACACCATCCCTGGGATTGCCACCCCTTAAATTACTTTATCACAGGGAATTTAGTAAGTTTGCACAGGGATTGCTCACCTGTGTGGCCCTGCAATTGTGCCAAGATGGTGCCAACACACCTCCCTGCCTCTGCCAGGTGGTTATCGAGGGACAGTGCCCTGCTTGGCCTGTTCAGGTGTTTACAGGGCAGCCACTGGCAGAGATGCTGAGATCATGGGGCTGTGATGCTTCCAGCACTGGAAGCACTGGGCTGTCCTGAGGCCAGGTTGGGATGTCTGTTTGCTGTGATAATAAATTGCTCTAACATCCAAATGAAAAATAAAGATAGAATTAAGAGGAAGAGGTTTTTATCAGCCTACTGTGTAAGGTGCAGCCTGGAGGCGTCCTCTGCACCAATTCCCACACATAGCTGGCACCTTGGGGATGGTTTTATCTTAGGTTCCCACAGACACCAGCTGGTCTGGTGCTGCCAATACACTCACAGCCATCTCCTCTGAATAACTTGTGTATCTCTTGGCTGCGTCCAAGCAGAGCAGGCAGGAGGCACTGGGGATGCTCTGCCTGGAGTGAGGAGGTGCTGGTGCTGCTGGAGGAGCAGTGGCAGCTTGAGTTCATCTTCAGCAGGTCCTGGGCACTGAGGATGGGTTTGCTCAGGGCACAGAAAGTGCTGAACTGGACTTGACCTGAGCAGCATGAAAACAAAGAACCAAGTGGGACAACGCTGGGACACAGAGAGTGGAGCTGGAAGTGTTCAAGGCCAGGTTGGATGAGACCTTGAGCAACCAGGTCCAGTGGAAGGTGTCCCTGACCATGGCAGGGGGTTTGAACAAGATGATCTTTAAGGCCCCTTCCAACCCAAACCATTCTGTGATTCTATGACTCCAAAACAGGTTGAGATAAGGAAAATGAGCCCATCTAGCTCCACTGCCCACGGGAGGGGAAAATGAAAGCAGAAACAGCAAATGAGGCTCTAAACCCCCTGTGTTTGTGTCTGAGATTGCAAAGACCTGGGGCCAGATTTCCCAAACACCCTCCTGGGTCAGCTGGCGTTGACTGATCTCCAGTGCCAGGCTTTGGCCTCATCCAGCATCTCCAGCTGGGCCAGGTGCCAAGGGCACTGAGGGCTGGTGACCCTGCAAGGGCATCCCTGGCAGTGCTGTGCAGGGGTAGCACAGGAGTCCATCCATGCTGTGAAAGGAACTCATTCCCCCTGCCCATGATACACACTCAGCCTGTGCTTGGGGCTGAGAGAAAAATAAAACATCTGGTGTTTTTAGGGGAGACATTTGGAAATGCAAGTGCATCCTTGCTTTGAGCTGGGACAGGAACTGCGGGAGCACAAAGAGGGTTCTGAAAACCTCTGCATGGGGCTCAAACCCACCCACACGAGGCAAGCACCCCTGTGGATGGCACGAAAGCCACCTGGTATTTCCAGGCTCTCAGACATTGATAGGGGGAAAAGAAAATAGAAAAATAATAGATGAAGCTCATTGCACAACCCAGACTCATGCTTGGCAGCGTCTAGCACAGAGCTCTGAATTTCAGCACAAAAATGTGTGGCATGCTGAAGATCCATGGATGGGGAGGAGTAACATGGCGGCAAAGTTTAAAATATGAGGGTGGGTGCAGAGGGGACCTGCTGTGGCCGAGGTTACCCCTGAGAGCTGCTGGCTTTTCCCAATAATTTTGGCTGCCACAGCCCCCTTGCCCTCACCAGTTGCAGGAGGTGCTTCCACTGCACCGCTGGCAATGGGAAGGGGAGGGTGGAAAAAAATTGGCAGATGAGAGCAAGCAAGGCCCTCCAAAACAGCATGTTCAGTTTTCTTTCCAATTTTAACTTGTCCTTGACCTCTCTTCGCTCCCTCCCAGCAGGGCTGGCTGGGCTCTGTACTTGTCCCGTGCTGCAACGCCCTGGCACGAGATGTTTTTGGTGGTGCTCACCCCTCAGAAGTGGCATTTCCATCCCCAGTTGCTGAACACATCTCCCTGGAAATATTCAGTTTAGCTGATGCCAAAGCCAACGTGAACCTGAGGTGCTGGGGATACCAAAAGGTGTCAGTGGCCATTGTGGGCTCGAGAAATGGGGATGCACATCCAGTGTGGGGGCTGGACCTGTGTCATGGGATACAGGGACCCTTGGGATTTTTTTGGTAGGGTGACATCTGTTTTATGAATCATGCCTTCAAAAGACAAGCATAGCCCCAAGTGATGGTACCCAGGGGTCCAGGGAGTGACACAACATCAGGTGGGGAATTTGGGGTGGTTTTGGCTTCACCACTGTGTCCTGACACAGCATTTCTGGTATGGGGGACTGGTTTGAGGGTCACCTGCAGCCACAGCAGTGGGGTTCCTCTTGCTCTGACATCAGTCTGCACCAGCAAAGAGGAGGCCAAGCAATGGCTCCTTCCCAAAACCAGCATGTGCCAGGGTATCCCATGTCCCTCTTTGCAACCCCCTGTGGGTCAAAAAGCCTTTGGCTTACCTTGTGCACCTCCTTTGTCCTGCTCACAGCATTGGGAAGGAACACATGGGGCCTCATCCCAGTGAAAAAGCACCAAGGGTAGATGTTGCCATAAACACAGATGTGCTCCAAAACAGGACCTGCAGCTGGATCAGGATTTTCTGCTTCAAACATCACCATGGTCAGAGCTCTGGGTGATGCCGAGATGGAATTGCATGGCCCCAAGCCCTGTGCCATCCCCCCAGAGGAGGCCAAGCTATTTAATTATTATTTATTTCACAATTATTTCATGTAGAGGTTATAGCAGGGCTTATTTAAAACCCCCCCTCCCAGCTGGGGGGGATAAGGTGATGACTATTCTGGATACAGTCAAAATTAGCACTGTTATTTGTATTCTCGTGCCCCAAGAGTGAATTTAAAAATTCCGAACTGTCGTATTATGCCACTGCGCTCATTTTGCCTTTGTCATCCCATGCCAGGCACAAGCTCAGCTCCATTTCTAGTTTGGCTCCTCTGAAAACCCACAAGAAATCCTGATCTGGTGAGCACAACTCCTTTTACGGCTGAAGAATGCCCTCAGGCTCCTGTATGGCTCCATGGGCTCCCAAATATCCCCCAAATCAGCCACAAACGGGACAAGAAAAGCAAAAAAACCCCAAAAAGGTAAAACAACAACAACCAAATAAACACAAAACCCCCCAGTCATCCAGTAAAATTGCTTTTATTTCTGTAATTTTCTAAGTATAAAACAAATCAGCCCAATATTGTGTGAACAGAGTGGATTGTATGGATGTGACCACAAGGAGCCTTCCCACGTCTTCCCGGCACACCTGGCTATTTACAGTCAGACAAAGGACATGGTTTAGGAAGCAGGAATTTAGTGGAAAAATATCTCTCATATAATAAAATAGGAAACCTCATTTCTTTCAGTTCTGTCCCTCAGAGAACACCCTCCCACCCCCCAAGATAGAACAATTTTACCTTTTACTATGAAGCACAATCTCAGAGATCTCTACATTTGGCTGTTCAGGCATCTCATATAAAAAAATCAGCATATTCCCAGCCTGAGGCCATTGAGGGCACCTGCTGGTTGCCCTCCTCTTGGTCCCAAGTGCCCATCACTCCAGGCACACACAGATTTTGGCTCATTTAATGCCCCACTCACACCAAAAGCTGAATGGCACCACAAGAACAGGTCCAGGGAGCACAATTTACCCTGTACCTCCTCACTGCAGCCCTGCAATCCTAACCCCAACTGTGCCTCACAAGATCTGCATGGGGTAAAGCCTTCTCCTTGGTCACTACTCCCAGGCTGTTTCCCCAACATGTCACTGCAGAAGTGGGAGGAAAAAGAGCTCAGATGGGGCTGAATCTCTGGCATCATTTATACATTTATAAGTGATGGCCATGCCAGGTATGGTCCAAAAATCACAGTAAGTCTCAGGAGTTGGTAGTGGGGCCTTGGGTGTGTTTGAGTTTCAGGAGTGATGTAATGCCAAGGTCACTGAAGCCCATGGACATCTCCCAGCCAGGGCCCCTGCACACCTCATATCATTATTTGGTGAGTTTTGGTGGACTGGGAAGCAGTATTATCAACCTGACGTACAAAAGAAGGACCAAAAATTAATGCTGAGTTTTCCTCTTGCTCTCCTTCTGCCATCTCCATGAGCAGAAAGTCCAACTCAATCTCTGATGCTCTTACAGGAACAAAGTCCCCCAGCCCCTCCATAGAGCCTGTCCCTCCTGCCCCCCCAGTGCCTGGTGGTGCCATCCAGCCTTGGCCGAGCAGAGCATCACCAGAAACACACACACACAGAGGATGCTCACAGTGCCAAAACCCCAAACACACCAACACAAACCTCACCCAGACCTTGGGCCACACGACACAAATAAAATGCAGGATGCAGCACTTTGCTCTTTTTCCTTTTTCCAACGTGGGATCCCCATGGGATCACACACCACAGGGGGAAGAGCTCATCCAGCAATGACACAATGCCCCAAAACAGTACAAAAGACTTCCCACCACTGCTGATCCCCCTGGTGCTCAGCCCAGGAACACAGGACCTTTCCCTCCCACCTTGGCCCCTGAGGAAGGAGTATAAAGTGCTCATGGATAATCACAACCCCATGCTGCCATCCAGCACCTCCTCTGCCCTGCATCTTGTGGAGGATCTGTCACAGCAGCCCACCACTCCTAAAGGTCTTGCTGGAAAGACCCGAGTTTTATTTATAGACTTAGACTATGCCAGGCAGCAACATCAAAATAAAACTAAAAAGGAAATAATTTCTAACCTCTGCTGCCAAGAAAAGCAAGGATCCCAGAGGTTTTCCCCTAAGCTGCTTTCTGAAAAAAGCTTTAGGGCAAAACAGCCACCCAGTGTCCATCTCCCTTGTATTGCACAGTCAGATGCCTTGGTAAGACACAAGAGCTTATCCCAAAGTGATGGTCTTGGCTCTGGGACCTCCAAGTTTACAAAAGAACATGTTCCAGCCTGTAAAACCTCCCAGCAGGCTGCTGCTGGCACACATGCAATAAATAACTACTCTGTGATCTATCCTGACCTTTCACCGAAGAATAAAGGAAAAAATACTTACATCTATGGATATTTTTCTACTTCATTGAGGTGTTTGAAGTATGAGCCTCTGTAATCAAAAGTATGGGGTGAAACCTGTACTCCAAGTAATTAAAGGATGTGGGGAGAGACAAGAGATGTGGTCAGCCATTCAGAAGGGGAAATGGGGACATGTCAAAATTGTCCCTCCTAGCAAGGGGGCCACCTGCTCCAGGCAGCTCTAATGCAGATTACCTGGGCATTTTCTAGATAGATTTAAGGCTTATAATATCAATAAAACACAATTTGCTGCTGCTGGGAAGAACAAGCTGGGACACAGCTCTGGTTTCTTGCCCATGATGGTTCAGGCTTTGGTAACTCACAATTGTGACCCAATGGCTGCATGAACAGACTGACACTGCCTGGGCTTTCACACAAGAAACTTCTCCACACCACACACATTTGGGTTAAGTTCATAACCCTCCACCTGACATTAGGTGCAGGGAAAGCAGTGTAACTCAGGTGGTGGATGGACCAAGCAGGTTCCTGCAGGCACAAGGGACCAGGGAGGCTGCAGGCCCTGCTGGACCCTCCAAACAGGGCTGGGATGCTCTGAATCCAGCCCAGCCTCTGAATCCAGCCCAGCCTCTCCCAAAATGGATGTTCACCTCAGAGAAACAGAGAAGCTGCCTCCTCTGACGACACTGAGCTGGAGCTGGACTAAATTCCCACTGGCTGTTTTTCTGCACAGAACAATGGAGATGGACTCAATCATCTTGGATGTCTTTCCCAATTCTTTAGTTCTGTGACCTGTACTAAAATAAGGTGAAATCCACCCTTTTGAGGAAAGGCAAATCACATGTCTACAGCATTAGTCTTACTGAAGCCTTATTTTGACTTATACAGTACCTGGGTCATGTCCTGGTCCTCTACACCAGGGTGGGTCTCATCCATGGCGAAAATCTTTGAAGAGGAATTGGTTATCCCACGGGATCAACTGATTAAATCATTTTGACAGAACACATTTGAAAAATAAAACTTCTTCAAGACAAAGTATAATAAGATTTTAAAAAATCAGCAACAATTTTCTAACGACAGAGTATCTATAAAGATCTTTTTTAAAGAGCTCCATATTAAAATTTCTTGAATACATTATATATTAAATACAGTAACAACATTTCATGCAAGGTTTTCTGTACAATAAATCAGCTCAGTAGTATAACAATTCTGTACATTCCCATTGGTCTGGGGGCTCTGCTCATCTTCAATGCTGGTGATGGAGAAAAGAAAGGAGGGATGATATTTGGCACCTACTGTATGGAAGGAGAGATGGTCTTGCCCAGATGATACAGAAAAACACTGGAAGCTTTGAAGAGGCAAAAAGTAGAAGAGGAAACCCAACAGCAAAGGAGCAAATGCTATCCCAGACCCTGGCTCTAGTGCTGTTGCTGGAATGTAAGAGAAAGGAAAGATACAGGCTCTGGCTAACTAAATATCATCAGGATGGATCCTAGGGGATGGTGAGGAAAACAGGAGGGAGAATTTGGAGAGCTGGAGAAGAGACCACCCACTATCAGCTTCTCAGCTGATGCAGCTCAATGGAGAAAGATAAATTTAATGGATCCCAAAATCCACTCCTGATCTACAAATCCTCACTGAAGACTGTCTGACTCCTGCTGTGGAAAAAAATCCCCAGAGGGCAAGATGAAGTTGGTGCTTTACAAAAAGGGATGCCACAACAAACACCACTCATGGAAAAAGACCACATTATGTACAAGCATACATTCATTGCCATCGTGATCCCTTGGCAGGGATGCCCTGTGCAAGTCAGTGATGGTCTCCAGAGCAGAGCACATCAAGCCATGGATGTGCTCCTAAAAACTTAGGCTGTACTACTGCTGGGGAAATAGTTAAAAATTCACTGAGGAAAGAAAGTGTGACCAGGAAGGAGTGGCGGACATGAGGTGGGCAAGGTGGGCAGCCCCTTGCTTTTCTTTACATGGCTGCCCCTCTGAGGAGAAGGACTGCCTTATATAGTGCAGATGGGATCCAGCAAGATGCCAGATGGAGGACAGACAAGACTTCATCATGCTTTGGTGCTGGATGAGCCTGAGAAGGTGCTGGGCTTTCCATAATGCAGGGATCAAACAGGACAGCGTGATAAACAGGGAGAACTTTGCCTTCCACCACATGCACCTGACCTCGAGGTGTAAACACACCTCCATGAGGTTCACACCAGTGTTGGACACACTCTGAAGCCGTGCCCAGCTGCTGCAGCCACTGGAGCAGAGCACAGCAGCAGCAACACTATGGACATCAGCAAGGCTCAACAACACGAACACACAGCCCCCTCTCCTCTCTCCCTGCCCTCACTCACTGCCAAGCCCTTCCCAGCCCCTGAAGCTGCCTTGTGCATCCCATCCCACTGGAGGATGTGCCTTCAAATCCCAAATTCCTGCCTTAACCTCTCATGAAGGCCACCTTGCCCGTGCTCACTCAGTCAGGGTGAAAATTGCAAAGAGGGTCTCAAATTTGGCAAAAACAAAATCCCAAGGAACCACATTACAACGACTCAGATCCACACAGCTCCATCCCCAAACTCTAGGCCAGCTGTCCAGTAATTGCACTCATATGTACAGGAAAAAGAAAGCTACAGAACAAAACGAAAATCAGGATTTTTTTCTTTTCGACGATTCACCCGCATTTGTCTGAGAGTCGGACACATGCATGTCCTGCTGGCTTTAGCGATGGTCACGCATGCAAGACTTCAGTCCCAGGGACAAGTTAGGGATCCTCTAGTTCAGAGTTGCCCTCAGGTCATTCATTTCTTGTCCTCTTCTCCTGAAAGGAAGGGCAAAATGAGAAATGGAAGTATTGGTGAGGGTTCAAAAGCAAAGCAGCTCCATGGTTTTGTTACTGAGAGTGGTTGCTCCTGGGTTGATCCCAGAAGGAACCTGGGATCCTGTGTGCACAGAGCTGGCCTGACTGCAGCTGTGGCAGCTCAGGCTGTGGGAGGAGGAGGAGGATGCTGGTCCCTGGGTGAGGAAGGTCTCTGCAAGAGTTGGGAAAAGGGATGAATTCACATAATTCACAGAATGACTGGGTTGGAAGAGACCTTCAAGATTATCAAGTTGAACCCAGCCCCAACACCTCAGCTACACCCTGGCAACCAGTGCCACATCCAGGCTTTGTTAAACACACCCAGGGATGGGGACTCCACCACCTCCCTGGGCAGCCATTCCAGAACTTTATCACTCTTTCCATGAAAAACTTTTTCCCAATATCCAGCCTGAGGTGGAGCCATGTGGAAGGAGAGTAGGCAGGACCCTCCTCACTGCTCCCAACGAGGCATCATGCAGGGAGAGGCAGTGGCTCAGAGAGGAGAAGCTCACTGCATCCTCCCACCACCCCAGAGCCCCAGCCCCGCTGCAGACATGGACACTGCTCCATGGGCTCACACACTTACACACACTGCCCATGTACCACACCCACAAATCCCTTCAAAACAATGAGCAAGGACCAAACTTCTCATCACAGCCACTGCCCCAGGGCTGCCCTCCCATCTTCTCCCCCTTCCAGATGGATGGGGTTGGACAGGGAGGGTATCAGGAAACACATGGCCTGCAGGAAAGTGATGGTATCCAGCTCAAATTCCATGTGAGCAGCCCCAAAATCCCTGCCAGAATTTGACTTACAACAAATAGATCCCCAATTTTCAAGCAGTTGACAGGAGTGTCCCTGATCCCTGAGGATCAGCCTGGGGTGGCTTGGTTTACCCAGAACACATCTTTTTTCCTTAAAAAAAACCCCACCCAGAAGCAGCACTTGCTAAGGAGAGTTAGAAAAATCCCTTATCATGAATCTTTGACTGTATTTCTCTCTCTTTCATCACTGCACACATCACAAAATACATCTCACTGGGGACTGCTGTTCCTGTGCTCTTGATAAATAAGGGTCCTGCCCGGGGTCACCCGTGGGGCTCCGTGGCTGCTGCCAGCCCTGGTGCCGACAGCTTCCAGGGGAATTAATAAATAACAGGCAAGGCAGAGGGAAAAGGCTTTTTTGCAACTTCTGCCAAAATTTTTTTCCAGTGCTGACTGCAGAGCCCAGCCCTTGTGTGCTGGGATAAAATGGTTTGCTGTGATGGCAGCATCCCTCTGGATGACACTGCGGGCTTTGGTGTAAGGCAGGGATGCTGGCAACTGCACTGTACTAAATATCAATGCAATAATCAAAATTAATCTCCTCCCCACTGCAGCAGCCTCTCTTCCCTCTCCTCCAGCAGCTGAGCAGTCCCCACTGGGTGACACACCAGTGGTAATTTGCCAACCATGGCAGTTCCCCTAAAACATCACCCCATGGCTGTGCAAACAGGGAGGATGCCCTGGCCTGTGGCAGGGACAGGAAGGGGACATGGCTGCAGTGTTAAACCACAGTGGATGCTCTTCAAAAAGTTGCTCTCAGGTGTCTAAAGTGACACAATCCTGGCATGGAGTGAGCCAGGTGCTTCTACCAGCCAAGGGTCCAGCTCCCACATATGCAGGTCCCTGCACGCCAGTGTCTGTCTGTCCTTCCCTCACAGAGGTGACAGGAGCAGGGGGATGCAGGACCTGTTTGCAGGGATGATGGGATGGTGACAGTGCCTCTGGATGCTGCCTCACACCAGGGGTGTCACAGCCCTCCAGCACTTGCAAAGCAGCAACTGGACAATGTGAGCTCAGCTGCTCCAAGCTCTGCTCCCCACAGACAGCTGAGGCTTTTGGGGGGGCTTTTCCTCATTGCTTTTGACTTTCCTCAACAGTTCCTACAAAAGGTGCTGCTGGAGGGATGCAGGCTCCCACTGCCAGCCCAGATCACTCTCTTCACCAAGGGGAGTGCTGCAGCCCTTGTAGCTCTGAAAAATGCACATCTCCCCCATCACAGCAGGGCAGAGCTTCAGCTGAGACCCCAGACCCCAGGAGAAAACCAAAAGGGAAATTGTCTACCATCCCTTTGCAATACCAGGGCAGCAACACGGGCAGCTTCCCCCTGCTCTTCCATTTCTAAAGCACAGCACACAGACATGAAAAACAGGAGAGAGGGGGAAATAAAAACAAAAAGCGAGGCAGCAAGAGCTCGCGTGGATAAAGTCTCGCGTGGATATTCCAGCACTGGAAGGTGCAGCACTGCTCTCCTGCAGAGCATCCCACAGCTCAAGGGATGGAAATCGTCCCCCATCCCTTTGCAATACCAGGGCAGCAACACTGGCAGCTTCCCTCTGCTCTTCCATTTCTAAAGCACAACACACAGACATATATAATAAAACAGGAAAGAGAGGGAAATAAAAAATCCTGTGCGGAGATTCCAGCCCTGGAAGGTGCAGCACTGCTCTCCTGCAGAGCATCCCACAGCTCAAAGGATGGAAATTGTCCCCCCACCCCTTTGCAATACCAGGGCAGCAACACTGGCAGATTCCCTCTGCTCTTCCATTTCTAAAGCATGACACATGGACACACATAAAAGAACAGAAAAGAGTGGGAAATAAAAACAAAAATCAAGGCAGCAGAGCTGTAAAATCCTGTGTGGGTATTCCAGCCCTGGAAGGTGCAGCAGTGCTCTCCTGCAGAGCATCCCACAGCTCCAGGGAATGCTTGGCCCACGGGGACACATTCCTCTGCCAGCACCCAGCCAAGGTAGCTCCAGGCACACATTTCCCTACAAGGGCAGGCACTCGCTCCCCGCTCTGCCGTGCCAGGGAGAGGGATGGATGGCTGCCTCCTCTGCAGGAACACGGGCAGCTGCAGCAGCTCCTGTGCTCCTGGGGCACTTGCAGGAGCTTCCCTCGGGTGCAGGTGCATGGGGGAAAATGAGGGTGAACAGCTCCTTTTTGCTATATGCTGGAGGGTATTTTGTGTTGGGATATGGAGATTTTGGTCCCTGCAAATTTTGGGCGGTCTCAGATGCAGAGCTGCATCTGGCAGGGAGTGTGATGCATTTGTCACTGCACTGCCACCTCTGCCAGCCACTCTCCTCTGGGAGGATGCTGAAGCCTAAATCTGGTGCCAGCTTTGCAGAGAAGTGCCCAAAGCTCCCTCAGTGGTGATTTTCACCCCAGGGAGCAACACCTGCACATCAGCTACAGTGGTAAGAGACTGCAGGGCAATGTGCTGCCATGGGAGAGGGAACAGGGACCCACTGGGGACAGCAACAGGGTGGGGTTGCCATAATCTTGCACCTCCTGCAAAATGACCCTGGGGGCTGCTGTCCTCACTGGGCACAAGGACAAACAGCTGCCTAAATGCTGATCTGCCACAAAAGACACCAGGTCAATCCCTGTGCATCCAAACTCCCTGTTTTTCAGTGGCCCTGCTGCTGTCAGAACAGGCATGTAGGGCAGAAAACACCTGCTTTGTGGTTTTTCCCCTGCTTTTACCACAGCAATGGTGATGCTCAGCACCCAGACAGGGCCTGCTGCTGAATGTGCTGAGAACAACCACAGCAGAGCTCCAGCACCTGTGAGGGGTTTGCTTTGAGATGGGGAACATGAGGAGGAGCAGGGGCAGTGCAGGAGGGGAGCAGGGTGGGCTCAGCAGTGGGCTGATGGTGCACAGAGGAACCTGAGCACTGGGGTTATCTCAGTGTCCTCCCTATATTTGGTACTTCTTGAGAACCACTTAGAAAAGAGACAAAGAGGCTTCTGCAAGGCCTTGGCACAGATGCCTGGAAAGCTTCCTCCTGCATGCCACAGGATTCTGAGAGAACAAACACTTGAATGCATGGAGCATGGAAAATATCAAAGATACTACAGCAAGAGATCCCTGAGGGTGGTGAGCCCTTGTGAGCCTGTCAGTGTGTGACAGACCCTGAGAACATCTCCATGCTCCAGAACATCTGCAGCTCACACAAAGCCAACCTCAGAGGGGCCAGAGGGGAATGGAGGCAGCCAGATAGGCAAAGGATGTGAGATGAAAGGCTGGATGTGAGCAGAGTGATGGGGAGAGGGATGTAAAGCACTGAGACCACAGTGAGAACTCAAGAGTCTCAGCTTTCTGCCACTTCAAGGACAAGGAAAATCCAGCATAATGGAAACACAACTTATCTAAATCTCATCAAAGGAGAAACTTTTCCATGCAATTCCTGAATCAGCAGAACTCACAGCTACACATTTACATTCCTCAGCTGAACACCCTTGGCCATGCCTTGGAGGATCCCATGCTGGAGACCATTCCCAAGCCCTGTCTTGCAGAGACCAAGTGCTAGCCTGGCTCCTGGCCAAAACTGCCATCAAACAGCTACTTCACAGGCTTGCTAGGCCTTATTTTGGAGCAAAACACAGAGACCACTGTGGGAAAGGAGATCCTGTCTGGGTAGAGTCTCTTGGCTCTATTATTGTATCTCTGTTCTATATCTAAGCCATGTTCACCCAGACACATTCCAAGCAGGTCCCCACAAGGCCGCAGGAAGCACAGGGGTGCAGCATTCAGGGATGAGACAGGTAAGGAAGCCAACCCTTGCTCTGGAGTCTTGCAGGTATTCAACTGGTGCTCCCCGCTCCATTTGGGTCTTGATGTCCTGAGAATGCCTGGCAAAAAAAAAAAATCACAAGACCACACATAAAAGTGGCTTTTGGAGGTTTTTTCCTTTGCTTTTCAAAGGCCAGAGGAATCAGGAAGAGTTTCAATTGCTTCTTTCAAGTGTGATGATTGAAGTGTGGTGATTTTGCCACAGCCGTGATAGGAGAGCTGCATGGGAAACCCTGGATCTGTGAGACACAGCAACCTGTGAGCATCAGCAGCACTGTGACCAGGGATGAGGGAAGCTCAGAGCACCTGAAACATTGGCAGTGTGCCATGGGAGGAGAAAACTGAGCTGCTGTGCTGCTGTGCTGGCACTTGAGAGGATCGTGTGCCTACCAGAAACCTCGCTGTGCTTGGAGCTGTGCCGGCAGAGCAAAGAAAAGCACTCTCCCAGCAGTGCAGAGATTTTACAGAGAAATACAAAGTGTGGGAGAAAGACAGACTCGGCCTCAGAGTACAGATTGTGAAGTGAAGGCCAAGGGCATGCATGGGATGCAACATTAACCAGCTCTCCTACACCCAGCCTGGTGCCATGATGTGGAATTGTTGCTACAGGCTCATAATTGTGGGACAAAACAGACCTGGGTGTCTGAGGAGAGATGAAACAATTCAATAAAAACAGGCTAGAAACAATTTCTATCTGGTTTGTAAACACAGGAGCTCTGCATCTCTGTTTCTCTGAGCAATTGCTGAGTTTCTGCATCAGCCCCATACAGGAAGAAAGGCTGACATGAGCAGCACCTGCACACCAGGACACACTGATGGGGAGGGAGATCTGTTTGTGACCATTTCCTGCCTGTAATGCTTCCCCATCCCATATTTCCAGGTACTTGCAAAGCCCTGCTCCATGAGAAACCAAACACAGCTGTGACAATGCCCCAGAGCCCTCCTTGACAAGCTGGCCAGACCTGCCTTCAGCCTGGAGAGGCAAGAGTGGCTTTGCACAGATTTTCTGGGTTGTTATTACAGGGTGAAGGGAAAAAGAGGGGTTTGCTATGACACAGGTTGCCTGAGGGGTGAAAAGATGGTTTGAGCAAGGTGATGGTGTGGAAGGAAATCTAGTCCTCACACTCAGATTGTTCAGAGCTTCCCTGAGCAAGGACAGTGCCCTTCCTGCCCCTCTTCTCCCTGCTATCACTGTCAGGGCCAGCTCTTCCCAAAAAATGAATAAATAAATCCTGTTTTCTGGAGAGGGGCCACCCCTGTAGCAGGCACAGCACTGCTCAGCAGCCCTGGGAAAACCTGTGGGCTTAACTCAGTGCTGAGATATCCCCCACAGCAACATCTTCTGCAAGAAATGAAAGAGAAGATGATATCATCTCTCTGGAGGGCTGCCCAAAGACAGGCTGTGATTTACAGCATGGAGCCCAGGAGCACACAGGAACTGCTGCTCCAATGTCACAGGAACTGCTTCTCCTCTGGTTGTGCCAAGGGCTGCAATCTGAGAGATCCCTTTAAAGTGGGCAGCCACTTTAAAGCCAGTTTAAAACCAGTTTGTAAGGTGTTCAGCTCTCAGTGGATCTCAGCATAGAGGTTGCCAACACCAAATAAGGATGGACAGAGAGGGGTGGAAATCTGAGAGGAAAAAAGACAGGTTTCCTGTTACAAATCAGTGTTTGATTTGTTTTGCTTCATAAGCAAAGGGATCCAGTTCCTGGAGGCTTGAGAGGAGCTGAATTAATAACCTGTGGCAGGTTTATCTAATGCTCCAGCTCCAAAGGGAGCATTTCAAGCAGATGTAATCACCAACTGCTCTGCCAGGCGTGGCACCAGGAAGGAAGGGAGCAGGAGTAGCCCCTTTGCACATCAGAAGTGGGTGAACATGCAGGTGTGACATCACACAAGCAGAGGAGGTGAGTGAGGGATCCACAAAACCCCCAGGAACCCCAAGCAAAGTGCCACCCTAACCCAGGGGGTGCAGACCATGCTCACCATCCAGGTGGTTGCGGGAAAGGTACTTGAGGCCTTCATCCAGCAGGATCACAGGCAGGGAGATCTTCATCACAACCACCCACTGTGGCCAGCTCAGGGGGGTCACCTGGAAGATGAGCTGCAGGGTGGAAAGGGTTGGACATGTCACTAGGGGAGCAGGTGGGATATTTTGTTGTTTTAGGGATCACATTGTTATGGGGAAAAGGTTGAGAGAGGGTCATCACAGAGAGGTATAAAGAGGGAGGATCCAGACAGCCCAAACAGGAGGATTTCTTCAAGGTCTGTCATGATCCAAGGTGGGTTTTGGCCAAGATTAGTGAAAAATTATAGTCTTAACTTCTCCTGCAGATGGGGAAAGTGAGGCACAAGGCAGGGCTGTGTGTTTATGTGGTCACAGGTGCTCAGCAGGTGACAAGGGACAATGCAACCTCCTGGGTATGGAAACACACTTCATCTTAAGCACCTTTGGGCACCAACCAAGGCATCCCCAACCTTGCAAAGGAAGGAGACAACTCCTAGAGGGCTGAACCACCCTCTGGAGATATCTAGAGCCTTTACATTGCCCATGGAGAGACCTTCATACTCCTGGCTCATGGGGCAGAATGACTCCTGATTTCCATAACTCATGGGGCAGAATGACTCCTGATTTCCATGCTGGGTTGAGCCATGGGACCTGGCCCTGAGGGCACATTCTGGAAACAGCCACCCCAGAAGTTTCCCGACCCAAAGATTGCCCCAGGGATGTCCTTGTCCACAGGAGGCACAGGGAGGTGACAGAGGGCACTCACAGGCATGGGCTTGACATAGAGGATGAGGAAGTGCAGAGCCATGGACATGATGATGGCCCCCAGCAGCCAGATGTTGAGCCAGGGTGGCATCCGCAACAGCGACTGGTTCTCAGAGACACTGTGAAAGTGAGGGGACAAGGTTAGCCCCAGAAACCCCCCCCCACATCTGCCCATGCTGGGAATTTCATTTCCCTCCAACATGCAAGGCCATATGCTACATCCTTTCTTTTCCAGGCTCTTCATCTGCAGGCTTTGCTGCAAACTGGATGTGGATACAACCAGCAATGCATGGATTAGGGCTGATCATTAATGACCAAATCACTAATGAATGCAGATCCAGTCCTTCCTTCACTTCCTGTGCTCCCAGGCACAGCACACTGCCTTGGAGCAGTTCCTCTATGGAAAACCCAGTGCTCCCCTGTGAGGATGCTCTGAACGGCTCTGCTGAGCCAAAGCAAAGCCCTCAGCCCACCCAGAGACACTCAGAGAGACAAAATCAGTCACACAGAGAGCAAGGAGAGCAGCCCTGTGGGCAGCACACCTGTTCAGAGCATTGCACATTTCGATGGTCACCAGCACAGACAGAGCCATCGTTGTTGGGTATCGCGACTCGAAGATCTCACAGTCAATTCCTTCAAAGATGGGGTTGTCCTCGGTGCACCTCATGAAGTTCCTCTGTCAGCACAGGAAACTGCTGGTAAATACATGGCAGAGCAGCAGGAAAGGCAGGAGAGAGGAGGAAGAGTCGACTGGTTGGGGGGCAGGTGATGAACTGGGCTGCTGTTAAATATCCCAGGGATCAGAGCAAGCAATAACGTGCTTCTCTTGGGGTTGGGCCTTAGGGGTATGGCTGGGCAGTGCCTTGAGGCTCTCAGGTGCAGTTAGGAAGGAGTTTGAGCACACACATGTGTCTCCATCAGAAATCCATCTTGCATTTCACATGCCATTGGGATGTGATGGCACGTGCTTTCCCCCTGCCCTGCAGTTTTCACATTAGCTGCAATAATGGAATGTGAGAACAGATCTCTTCCAATATGGGATGAGGCACAGAAGCTACTTTCAGCTTCTCTGAATCTCTCTGAATGTGAAACTTTCTCTACCATGCTGGTGGCTGGCAGAAGCAAGGCTGGAAACAGCCTGAGTGAGAGAATTCGCTTCTGTTTTAAATTACTGTCCTCTCCACTAGGAATCTGGGAATGCTACAACCAACACAGAGGAAAGATAGATAAAAGACCCCAAGACATGAATGCACACCCTCACCCATCTCTGCAGCTGTCAGCCTGTTCCGTCCTGACTCACCAGCTGATGGAAGGAGACCTGCGGTCCCTCAGCGTCGTACAGGAACCACCAGGTGGCTGCTCCCACTGTGGCCAGGCCCACGTACACTGTGGCCAAGAGAGACACCCTTACCCCAGCACCAGACAGGGACCCCGGCTGTGTTGTGATTTCAGGGTTTGCCTCAGAACCTCGGGCCCCTCCCCTGATAATTCCCTGCCAGGTGTGTCAGTCACCTCTCCTTTCCCCACCCTGACCCCTCCCAGCCCTGTCTGTCAGTCCTGGCATTCCAGAAGGGCACTGAGTGATTGGCAGATCCAAAGGATGCCCTCTACCCCTGGGGGGCATTGGGCCATCCAGGCGTCCTTTGTCCCTTTGTCCCTCCCCTCCTGTCCCTGCTTGGTGGCTCCCTGCCCCTTCCCTGCCCTCTCCCCGGGTTAAAGGAGCAGCAACCACGGGCTCAGGGAGTTCTGTTGGAGCTGGTGCTGCATTCAGAGGCCTGTGGGCCAGAATAAAGCTCTGGATCCAAACCCTCCATCAGAACCGACTCCTTTCCTTCAGCATTGCCTTAAAGCTTCTCTGCCAGAGGGAAACCTGAGGAGCAGTCCCTGTTATGGGGGAAGCTCCATCCCAGCACCACCAGAGCTCCTGCAGGGCTGGACTTGTCTCCTTGTGCCAACTGCAGCACCCAGCCAGCCAAAAGTGTCTGTGGGGTGAAACCACACACCCAGCCAGCCAAAAGTGTCTGTGGGGTGAAACACCACACACCCAGCCAGCCCAAAGTGTCTGTGGGGTGAAACACCACACACCCAGCCAGCCCAAAGTGTCTGTGGGGTGAAACACCAACATCCAGCCAGCCAAAAGTGTCTGTGGGGTGAAACACCACACACCCAGCCAGCCAAAAGTGTCTGTGGGGTGAAACACCAACATCCAGCCAGCCAAAAGTGTCTGTGGGGTGAAACAGCACCGTTGCTGCTGTTTGGTTCAGCACCAAGGACCAGACAAGCTCAGACACATCTCATCCAGCTATATTGGTAATTATTCCAGTAGACCCCAGCCCAGGACAGCCCAGGCCCACCCTGACACACCCCTCCAGCCAGCAGCACCCACCTCCCACAGCCAGGTAGCGGAAGAAGAGCCAGCCACTGATGAGGGGCTCCTTGGGGTTGCGGGGCTGCTTGTCCATGATGTCCAGGTCGGGGGGGTTGAAGCCCAGCGCCGTGGCCGGCAGCCCGTCCGTCACCAGGTTCACCCACAGCAGCTGCACGGGGATGAGGGCCTCGGGCAAGCCCAGGATGGCTGTCAGGAAAATACTGCAGGGAAAAAAAAAAAAAAATAGGAAATTATACAAGCTCTAGGCAGCCAAGGTTCTGTGTCATGCAAGGGGGAGAGAGCATCTGGATCCAAAGCCTCAAACTGAATATTCACCCCAAGTCCTTCAGACAAACACACACCCCCTGATAAGGAAGCTGAAGCCCAGCACTGAATTTGGCAGCTAAAATTTTTTTCTGTTGCTATTAAAATTTGCTTTGCAGCTGTAACCCAACTATTGATGTCCCCAGGCTACAAAGGTTCCCATTCCCAGCACAAACACCCATGCTGAATGCAAGGGCAAAGGATGCCCAAATGATCCCAAGGTTGGTTGTGCTGATGTTGCTGAGGACTGGGAGGGATGGGCAGGGGCAGGGATAGCTGTGACTGGGTGACAGCCGCCTGTGCACAAATAACTGCACCCAGATCAGGCACTTGCATGAGCTTAAATAGGCAATACTTTGACAGGTCCTGCAGTATGGCAGGATTGTAAAACTACAAAAAAAAAAAAACCAATCTCCCTGCCCTTGGGGAATGAGACATGGTGCCTGGGATTACCAGTCTGGGCCCTACGTGCTGCTGCAGCATGGTGCCCGCTGTGGGAGGCTCTCACCAAACAACCTCCCCAACGTTGGAGGAGATGAGATAGCGGATGAACTGCTTCATGTTGCTGTAGATGGCTCTGCCCTCCTCCACGGCCGACACGATGGTGGAGAAGTTGTCATCAGACAGCACCATCTCAGCAGCTGACTTGGCCACGGCCGTGCCTGACCCCATGGCGATGCCAATCTCTGCCTTCTTCAGCGCCGGGGCGTCATTGACACCGTCACCTGTCTGCACACAGCCGGGGTCAGCGTGGAGGGATTGTGCTGCGCTGTGATGTCATGGTTTGCCTCAGATACCCTGGGCCCCTCCCTGAAGATTCCTTCCCCAGGTGTGTCAATCACTTCTCCTTTCCCCTCCCAGCCCTGTCTGTCAGTCCTGGCATTCCAGAAGGGCACTGAGTGATTGGCAGATCCAAAGGATGCCCTCTACCCCTGGGGGGCATTGGGCCATCCAGGCGTCCTTTGTCCCTCCCCTCCTGTCCCTGCTTGGTGGCTCCCTGCCCCTTCCCTGCCCTCTCCCCGGGTTAAAGGAGCAGCAACCACGGGCTCAGGGAGTTCTGTTGGAGCTGGTGCTGGGTTCAGAGGCCTGTGGGCCAGAATAAAGCTCTGGATCCAAACCCTCCATCAGAACCGACTCCTTTCCTTCACCATCGCCTTAAAGCTTCTCTGCCAGAGGGAAACCTGAGGAGCAGCCCCTGTTATGGGGGAAAGCTCCATCCCACCACCACCAGAGCTCCTGCAGGCCTGGATTTGTCCTCACATGCCCAGCTGCAGCACCCAGCCAGCCCAAAGTGTCTGTGGGGTGAAACACCACACACCCACAGCCAAAAGTGTCTGTGGGGTGAAACACCACAGTGCCGCTGTTTGGATCAGCACCAAGGGCCAGCCAAGCCCAGGCACATCCTGTCCAGCCATATTGGTATTTACTCCAAAAGGATTGAGCAGGGTGGGGAGGAGGGGACAGGGGGTGGCAGGCTGTCCACGAGGGCTCACCATGGCCGTGATCTCGTTGAAGGACTGCAAGTACTCCACGATGCGGGACTTGTGCGCCGGCTCCACGCGGGCGAAGCATCGCGCCTCGCGGCACGCCTGGCGCTGCGCCTCGGGGGGCAGCTCATCGAACTCCCGGCCCGTGTAGGCCCTGCCAGACACGTCCTCGCTCTCGGAGAAGATCCCGATCCGGCGGCAGATGGCCACCGCCGTGCCCTTGTTGTCACCGGTGATCATGATGACGCGGATGCCGGCCTTGCGGCACATCTCGATGGACGAGGTGACCTCTTTGCGCGGAGGGTCCAGCATCCCCACGCAGCCCACAAAGGTCAGGTTGTTCTGGGAGGGAGGAACACACCCCACACTCATGTTAACCCCTTGGGATGTGTCCACTTCCCTCCCTGCTGTGAAACCACCCTGGGCTTCACTGGGTGAAGAAACTTCCAAGAGGTTTCTGGAATTTATGGTATAAATTCCTATCTATTTATACCATAAATTCCTACCTGTGGAATTCTGGGGCAATTTCCTATCATAACTGCCCCGTGGATGCACTCTACAGCCCCAATCCAACAGGATGCTCCCGTCCCTCTGCTCCTCCTCACGCGTTTTCTCTTTTCTCCCCTTCTCCCCATCCCTCCCAATAGTCTCCTCATCAGTCACTCCACAGGAAAACACACTCAGAGATGGGGCTTGTTATCCTTCAGATCATCCTCTGAGGTTTGCAGAGGAGATGAGCCACAGAGAAACCAGAGGGAAAATCTGTTGAGAGTTTTTTGCATATTGAGGAGTTTTTGTTAGACAATGGCCATATTCAGCCAATGCACAATCCAGCCTGTTTGCACTAATGGGCAATGGTCACGTTCACAAACAATGAATAATGGACATATTCAGAAATGGGGTTGGTATATCCTTGAAAGAGATACAAGATGAAGAATCATCAGGACTCAGCAAGTTTGTCAGCAAGCTTGGGAAAATAAGAAAAAGGTGAGTCATGGGTGGGTCAGACGACCACAGCAAGACACGAGAAAAATTAGGTGATCCAATCAGCATTCTAATTTAGACGTGTGAACAGCTGGGATTAACCAATCATGTATTAGCTAGAGACACGTGGACAGTACAGATTTATTATAAATATAGTCTTGTTAGGAATAATAAATTTGGCTTCACTGGATCATGTTGGTCATGGTGTGATGTCCCTGAACCTCTGCGCCCTGCATTTTTGGGGGAGAAAAATCCTGCTGGGACAGCTGGGGAAACTCTGGGCACAAGGAAGATGGAGAGCAAGGCCAGATGTGGGGCGCTGTACCTCGTAGTGGACGAAGGCGGCCGAGTCGTGCAGCTGCATGCTCTCCCTGCGCACAGGTGTGTCCTGCGTGGCCAGGGCCAGGCAGCGCAGGGTGTCCATGCCCATGCCCCAGTCCCGGATCCTGCCCAGGATCTTGTCCCTCACCGGGGCCGTCAGCGGGACCTTGGCGGTGCCCACGCGCACGTGGGTGCAGCGCTCGATGACGCTCTCCGGGGCGCCCTGTGAGGAGGAGAGGAGGGCTCAGGGGATGGGGTGAGGATGGATGGTCAAAGGAAGTGTCAGAGGGAGGGAAGGCATGAAATTTGGGTAAAAACAGAGGAAATCTCCCCAAATTCCAGCATTCATGCCAGCCCTGTGGCTCAGGGCACTCGATGGCAGCCTCTGACTGAACACACCAGGATCACACCCAGATCACCAAGAGCAGGATCTGCTGGAGAGCCAGCTGGCCCTGAAAAACCTACAGATCCTCCTGAAATACTCCCATCCCACCCTGTAAGAGCGACAGGGGGTAGCACGGTCGGGATGGATGGAGATGAGAGATCTCTGAAGCCAGGTCATGGAATTTGGGGCTTATTGCAAAGGGCCTGGATGCAGGGCCCTGCTGGGAGCTGCCAAACACAGCTCAGAGCAGGGCTGAGAGGAGAGAGGGGGAGAGAGGATGAGAGAGTAAAAGCATAAGAGTAGAAGGGGTGAGAGCTAAGAGGCAAGAGAGCGAAGTTCCCATTACAATACAATAAATCATCTTCTGTGCTGAATATTCTCATTCTCACTAACCAATCTGGTACAAGATACAAATCCTACAGCATTTACATACAGCCTATAAGAATCATTACATTACCATGCTGTGTTACATTTTAAACCCTAAAAACTCCTCTTTGGGCCCCTTCTGCCAAGCTGTAGGGTCTGCTCTGACCCTTGGACCTGTCTGCAAGCAGAGGGTGTTGTTCCATCAAAAGGGGATCACCTTCAGCTGGCCACACCATTGTTTTCCAGGTGTTCAGTAACTGAGGTATCTCAAAGCTTGCTTTCATTCCAATCTCACTTATAGTTTCCATATTCTCAAAATCTTTTGCCAGACAATCATATTTATAAGGCTTTCCTGTTTCATCTTACCCAACACCACCCCACAGACCCCTGCTCTGACCTGCAGGGGATGAGAGCTGAAAATCTGTGAGGGAACAAATGTGGGATACTCAGAGGATGCTTGTGATGCCTTTGCAATTCAGGAAAACATGTCCTTGAGTACCCCAGCCTCTCACGCCAGCCCTCCTGACCTTACAAAGCAGCCTGACATTACTCTTTAATATAAAACTTGCAATCTTTCTATTGCATCTCTTAAAAAGCTCTCCCAGGGCCACAGATCCAGAGGCTTCAGAGGGTCCCAGCCTGGCCTGGAGGGCAGAGTTCACTCACCCAGATAATTTCCCAGTGGGAACAACAATATCCAAATCTTCTCAGTCAGCGGGGAGAAATTCCACCGCATCTCTTCCCTTGGGAAGAAAATTTCCTATGAAACACTTTTATTTCTGGCTTCAGTGGAAAACTGGACATCATCCTTTGGGCATTACTGGCATCCAGAGGGTCCAAGCCTTTAATAAAGGCAAGTGCCCAAATTCTGCACAAGGGCAGCTCTCCCTTGCCCCAGCACTGGCACACTCAGCAGCACCTTTCCCTCCCTCTAAACCATCTCCCCCCTTTCTTCCCTAACCAAATGGCAAAGACTCACCTCCTCCCTGACCCCACCAGCCTACCTGCTGGATCCTGAATCCCCAGGCAGCTCAGAGTTTTCTCCAGCACTGCAGGAGATGCTCTGCAGCTCCCCTCACCTTCCCCAGAGTGTGAGAGGAGCTGCAGAGCATCACCACTGCCCTGCACAGCCAGGGCCAGATGATGCTGTGTCAGGACCCAGGACATCCCTCTGGCTGTCCTGAGCAGCCAGGGCCCCTGCCAGGGGGCTCAGGGACCCTGGCACAGAGCCCAAAGCACCTGTGGGTTTGATTATGACCCATGGAGCAAGTTACCAATGTTATATGAAGACCAGCAAGCCACAATAGTTTAGGTAGAATAATAGTGAAGTTATCACAGGGTGGAAAAGTAGATTTTAGGGGTTTTGGTATGGGGGTTCAGGAGGCAAGATGGAGGGAACTGGGCGTGTCCAGCCTTTCTCCTTCTTCTTCTTGGCCTCCATCTTCTGATGTGATGTTGGCACTTTTGGATTGGTTTAGAGTAGAAGCTCACTGTCTAACATAGGTGATGGGTATTGGAAAGTAATTGCAAATAATGTACATGTAGTTTTTAGTATAAAGACATAACACTGCCCCGGGGGCAGGCAGCGTGCCTGGAACTCTTGCTGAGCTGGCCTTGGCAGGGCAGGAGAAAATCTTTTATAGGTAAGATACAATGAACAACCTTGAGACCAGGAACTGAAGAGCTCAGAGTCCTTCTTCAAGCGCTGGGCTGGGAAAAGAAACTTTGCAACTTTTCTTGGGGTCACTCTGACAAGCTAATGATCCTGACACTGCTGGGTGTGTGAGGGGCAGCTGGACCCTGCAGGTGCTCCAGCCCTACCTTGACAAACCAACAGTGGCTTCAGCCCTACCTTGACAAACAAACAAACCAACCAACAGTGGTTCGGCCCTACCTTGACAAACATCTTGCTGCCAGCAGAGTTGTTGCCAGCCCCGCTGGGGGTGCAGTACACGGACATGGACTTGCGGTCCCGGGAGAACTCCAGCGTGCACTCCTTCCTCATCAGCTGCTTGATCACCTGCAGGAACAGCACTGGGCTGAGCAGGACATGCCAGGGACACTGGTGCTATCTGACAACCCTGCTGAGCCCCTGGGATGGGAGGAGAAAGGCAGACACAGGAGCCAGGAAGGTTTCTGATAAGCTTTCCTTATCAGAAAGGAGTCAGAATATTTATTACAACCTGCACAGATCTATCCTGGGGAAAAATGCTGGAACTGAGAGCCCTCTGAGCAAGGGAAGACATTGTACGATCCAACAGAGGAAATACAGACCCAAAATAAAGTGTGTTTTCACCCAGGACAGGGAAACACTGGAGTAGGGGAGTAGCCAAAACAAGATATTTTCATGTCAAAAATAGATGTTTCCAAGGAGCAAATGTCACTGGGGCAGGCCAGGCTCTGGGGAATAGGGTTTGATTCATGCTGGAGGGTGGCTGCTCAGTGCAAACTGGACACCCAAAGATAACTCCAAACTTGCTCATCTGCAGCCAGAGCTCAGGCCCTCATTTAGAGGGTCTCTCCTGCCTGAGCAGGGACTGCACTGAGTTGGAGCCTCAGGAATCACCTGCTCCAAAGCTCCATGTAGGCTGGTCCTCAAAGCCCTGGCATCAGCTCCCCAGGGCCACTGTTCCAAAAACAGCTCACCATGAGAGCCCAGAAATCACGTCCTTGTGCCAAATCAGTCCTGTCAACCATTGCAAGTGTTTATTTGCCCAAAAATCAGCCATGCTCAATCCCTCCTCTCCCTCCCATCCCCCAGTGCTGATGGGGTTTCTCCCCACTCACTGAGTTGCAGGCGTTGGCTCTCTCCACCTTAGACAGCTTGCTGAGGTCTGTGTTGAAGACATTCATCTTCTCCACCAGGCATGTCAGGGCTGTTTCAGTGGCTTCCCCCACCTTCTCATAGACTTTTTTGGACTAGAGGGCAGAAAGAAAGAGCTTAAGCTTTAGAGCACATCCTCCACACACTGCTGCTGCCCCGAGGATGCTGCCATCACCACACCAGAGCATCCTCCAGGGATGAGCAAAGCCAGGGAAGGGGATCCCAAGGGACAAACTCTGCTGGCTTTGTCCTGAAGCACAGCAAGAGCATCCCCCCTACCCCACCCAGGCCCTGGTGCCCCCACACCTCATTGTAGTCCAGCGAGGAGTCATTGCAGAGGGCACAGATGGTGGCCAGCTCCACCAGCCCGTCGTACTGCCCGCACTGCACCGGCTGCTCGTCCTTCAGGCTGCGGGCAGAAAACAACCATGGGGAAACCCAGAGAACACAGGGAATATTTCTGTGTCTGCTCTGGGGTGCCCTGACCCCCAGGGCAGCACTGACTCTGACACTCATTCATGGAGAAAGTTTCCTAAACTCCAGAATAGACTGGAGTCCACAAAAGTGAAATAGATTATAGAGAGTAGTGTAGTTATATCACTTAGGTGGGAAATTTAGGTTTTGGGATTTTTAGTATGTTGTGGATGGAAACAAGATGGAGGGCACAGGGTGTCCTCCTGGATTTCTTCTTCTTCCTTCTTCTTTTTGGGTTTGGGTGGCATTTTGTAATTGGGCAGAAAAGTCCCCATTGCAGCTCTTTGGGATCAGTTATTGGGTTAAAAGGGAAAATAATCTACAGCAATCGGTTCTTAATTGGATAGTTTAGTCTTAAAAGACCATATAACAAGAGATTGTTGGCCATTTTGTGCCTTCTAATGAAAAGCTGTCAAGCTCACAGTAGTGAGGCTGTTTTACTGATAAGAAATAATAAACACCTGAGTCTGAACATGAACTACCCTCTCAAGTGCCTTCAATCCAGGCCCAGAGAAACCCACAACTGGAACCACCACACAACCCCAACAGCCTCACACCAGCTCACACCTTCAATACAATTAGCTCACCCTAAACATCCCTCCTAGGGGGATACATAGCCTACACATCACTCTTGTAAAAGCGGAAGCAAAAGCCCAATAAAGCACCAGTGCTGGCAATAAATCCTTGGGTTCACATTTTGTACTTTATTAAATGGGGCAGCACTAAATTGCAAATAAAATATCACAGGAGGCAAATAAATTCTGCAAGTGGCCCAGAACAAGGGGAGCAGCAGAGGAGTTCAAAGGAGCAAGCAGGGGCTGCTCACAGGCTGATGATGAAAGTGATGGACCAGAAAAGAGGCAAAGAAATTCATGTTAAAACCCATCCCCTCAGGGGTTTCCATTTGCTTTGAATCCAGAGGAGCTGTGCAACCAACAGCAAGTCCCTTCCCCTCCCTGTGATGCTGTTTCACACTCCAGAGGGAACCCAGGGGAGCATTTAGGAGCAGCAGAGAGCTTGAACAGCTGCACTGCTGTGGCTGCTTCCAAGCAAGTGCTGAACTGTGATCTCTGCTTCCTCAATAGCAGCTCTTTGCTACAGAAAGGAGCAGCCCTGAACACTCCAGCTGCTTCTCCTCTCCTGGTGGCAGGAATGGTAGCAGTGGTTTTGAAGGAAATCAAAAATTCCCCTGGTTCCAGCAGAGGTAACTGCAGGTTAGAGCTGTGTAAACCCAGCCGGTCATCTGCTGGCTGGAAAAATAATTTGTCAGGCATTTACTAGGATCAGCTTATTCCACTGTTGGTTCCCAATGGAAAGAACATTTTGGAGCCCTTGTTACAGCTCGGGAGCGGAAAACACGGAGCAGCCAAGAAAATCTGAAAAATCTGTTTGCTGAGGGAGACAAAGCCACACTGGGCCGTGAGTGGGAAGGGAGAGCCACTGCTCCTGCCCAGAGAGGCTGCCCAGCCCTGGGCTCACAGGGAGGGACAGCAGTCACAGCAAGCATGGCTTGTGCAGCACGGGATCCCCTGGATATTGTGGGAAGGGATGGGAGTCACAGCCCCATGGTGAGACCCATCTGCTGGGAGAAACATCAGCAAAGGGGCTCTGTCACAGACATCTTTTCATGAAAAATCCTTTCCTTAGGATTTTTCCTCCTGAGAAGCTGAGAGGCCTCAGGAACAAAATGTAAACAATGATTATCTGCTGCTGTTGAATGCAACAGGTAGATCTGTGATTAGCTCATGTTAGTTTGTTTGCAATTAATGGCCAATCACAGTCAGCTGGCTCGGACTCTCTGTCTGAGACAGAAGCTTTGTTATCATTCTTTTCTGATTCTACTGTTAGCTTAGCCAGCCTTCTGATGAAACCTTTTCTTCTATTCTTTTAGTATAGTTTTAATGTAATATATATCATAAAATAATAAATCAAGCCTTCTGAAACATGGAGTCAGATCTCCAACTCTTCCCTCATCCAAGAACCCTTGTGAACATGGTCACAGGGCTGCTGGCTGGGTGCTGTGTGAGCAAAGCCAGGGTCCTGCATGAAACATCCCCCTGCCAAGGCCAGGTTAAAGCAAACAAGCCTTTAGTGCTACCAGCCCTGGGGGAAGGAGGGTTCTCTCCTCAGCAAGCCCACACATCCCTCTCCATACACAACACAGGCACAGGGCTAAAGCAAAACTCAGGAGCAATACAAACTGCTGCAGACCAACAGAGTGGCCCTAAATGCAGCCCCCAGAGGACAGGGGACACTGAGCTTCAGAGGCTGGCAGGCATGAGTTCAGCTCCCGGGTCCTCCTCAGTTTTAATTGAAATGCACTGATTGACACCAGCTTATGACTTGGCTCAGTTTTTAATGGAGATTCCTAGCCAAGGATCAAATTGGCTCCATAAATATTCATGAAATTATGTCTGTGGCTGAGATGAGTTACAGCTGCTCCATGGATGAGCAGAGGGCACCATGCTGACAAATGTGTCTGGGATCACTGAGCAAAGCAGAGGGGAGCAGAGAGTGCTCCCAGCACCAGCTGAGCTCCTCATCTTCCTTCTTGCTACACTGGGGGCCGCCACCTCCTTCCAAAGGAACAGGAATAAACAAATACAACAGCAGAGAACCCTATGTGTTTTATAACACCTCAGAGAAAAGCCCCTAGCTTTCACTCCCTGCCCATGTCTGCCCTGAGAGACACCCTGACATCAGCAGGATCCTGCCCTGGGCACACCAGCCATGGCAGCCACCCCTGCTGTGGGCACAGGGCTCAGGGAGCATTGTCCTGGTGGGCTTTGAGTCATTTGCAAATCCCCCTGAGCATTGCTGGTGGCTCCTGGACAAGCTGCCCATCCTGCATCCTGCAACAGCCACCAGCCAATACCCAAACTGTGGAGGCTCCAGAAACGTGGAGAGGCATCTGCTGCTGCAAAGTGAAATAGATTATACAGAGTAGTGTAGGTGTATCACTTGGTGAGAAATTTAGGGGAAATTTCTATGTGATGAAATTTCTACGTTCGTCACCATTCCCACATCTGTCATTTTCTCTGGTTTATTGTTTTACTGGGATTGCTAACCAAGAGAGAGCCAGGGGTGTGGAACCCCTCTGCTGAGCAGTGGGAAGGCAGAGCCAGGGTGAGCAGCCCCCAAACCAAGCGGGGCAGGATCTGGGTGTGAGGGAAGGGAAACACTGCCCTGGTGCCCATGGACAGCAGAGCCCAGCCCATCACCCAACACCTGCAAGCCCACTGGGGATCCCCATGGACAGGACTGCAAACCACCATGGAAACCCCTCCTTTCCCCCAGCCATGGCCATGAACCCAACCCTCCCACCTGCCCCAGCTCTGCTGCCAGCCCAGAGCCCCCTGTGTCCCTGGGCATGGGACCCTCACTCACATCTGTCCCTCGGGGGCGTAGGTGGAGCCGGTGATGCTGAACTCGTGCAGGCTGCACTGGTTGCCCTCCACCTTCTCCATGATGAACATCTGCCAGGGGAGAGGGGCAAACACAGCATCAGGCAGCACATTCTGGGTACAGCCCTCGTGCCCAGCCTGGAAACCCACCACAATGCACTGTCCCAGTTATCATAGCCCTCCTGCCACCAGGCTCAGGTGGCACAGACGTGGTTTATGAAAATTCCTTTCCTTAAGATTTTTTTCTCCTGATAAGCTGAGAATCCTCAGTAACAAAATGTAAACTATGGTTATCTGCTGCTGTGGAATGCAACAGGTGGATCTGTGATTGGTCTCATGTGGTTGTTTCTAATTAATGACCAATCACAGTCCAACTGTCCAGACTGTCTGGTCAGTCACAAGATTTTATTATCATTCTTTTTCTATTCTTAGCCAGCCTTCTGATGAAATCCTTTCTTCTATTCTAATATATCATTTCAATAGAATCATAATATATATATTATATATTATATATTATATATTATATATTATATATTATATATATTGTTCTAATATATTATATATTTTATTCTTTTATAATATATAATTTCAATAGAATTCTTCTATTCTTTTATAATATATAATTTTCTTTTAATATAATATATATCATAAAATAATAAATCAAGCCTTCTGAAACATGGAGTCACATTCTCATCTCTTTCCTCATCCTGGGACCCCTGTGAACACCACCACACTCAGGCCCATCCCTGGTCAGCCACTACCCCTGGCTGTCCCCAAATCCATCTCTGCCTTTGTCATGTTCACCTCCTGCAGCTCCTTCTTTCCCTAGGAGATGAGAGACGCTGAGCCTGTTCCTAAGAAGGTTCCTGTGTTTGTCTTGGAGCACAGAAGGGTCAAGGTTTCCACTCCTGCCCTGGAAAGCCTCTGCAGGGCAGGATCCAAGCAGGGGTGGCTGCCCCTGCCACCCTTCCCAGCCAGCTCTCAGCCACCAGCCTTGTGCCTTGCTGGGATCACAGCTCAGCTCAGTAATAAAACCCCAGTGAGCCATAAAAGTCCCTCACACTCTATTTATAGTGATTTTTTTGCCTTTCAAAATCCTTCCAGTTTTTCTTTTGCTGCTATAATGAGACAAATCCCTCAAACTCTGAAATAAAATTACAATTCCCCTCTCCCCAAGCTCTCCCAGTCCCCCTTGTCCCTCCCAGCACAGCCCACCTGTGAGGGCAGCATCCCTGGGAACAGGAGCAGAGAGTTCAGAGATGCTCATTTCTGCTTCTTGTTATTTATGACCCACACTGAAGCCAAAAAGCAACATAATAAATAAAAAAACAAGCAAATAAATAAATAAAACTGGTTTGGCAAATGCATTTCCCTGGCTGCAGAGGGAAGCCAGGATTTAATGTGGATGCAGAGAAGTGCTGCTCTCCTCAGCTCCATGAATTTGCTGAGTGCCTCCAGAAAGCAGGTGCAGGGAAAACTCTTCCATTCCAACCTGCCTCAAAATAATTGTTTTTTTTACTCTATTTATTTTCCTCTGGTTGTTTGTGTTGTTCCCCCGGAGAGGGAAGCAACAGATGCTGGAGAAATCAGCAGGCATCACTCAGCAGCAGAGATGCAACAGCTCCAGCTACCACCCACTCCTCTGCCTTCCACGTTTCCTCTGGCAACAAACAGAGGTTCACCTGCTATTATTATTAATTATTACTTGCTATAATTATTAATTATTGTTAATAATACAAGGAAACCTCATCAGTGCAGCCACGCTGGCAGGTGTGAGGTGTCCCAGGTTTGAGCTTGGGGACAGGCCAAGCCATAGGGGATGCTCAGGGGAGCCCAATCCCAGCATGGTCAGCACCAGGACACCCCAGGGGGTTTTCTCACCTCCCTAATTTACAGGTTTAAGTAAATCAAAGGAGCAGGTTCAAAGCATTCATCTCCTGTGTGAGTAATTCTGAGCCCAAAAAAACCTCACCATGGCTTCCCAGCTACTTGCAGATATCCATTAGTCCTATCTTGGGCTAGTGCTGATGCCTCAGGTTCAGCTTTTATATTTTTCACATTCTGTGCTGCTTTAGTGTGTGGGTCTGGGCTTCATATTAGGGGATGGTGAGCTCTGTGCACAGAGCAGGGAGACAAAACAATTCCTCCTCTAGCTGGGGACCAAGGACAAATGATCCAAATCTCAGGTCCAAGAGCATAAACAATATGAACTAAAACAAGCAGAGAAAAACAAGCAGGATGGGACTGCATGGGCTAAAGCTGGAATTGCACAATGAACTGCAAGATGCAAATGGAGCAGAACTTATAAAAGAGAGACCCTGTGACTGGTTGTCTATTTTGGGACCATTTTGGTTCACCTTGGGTGCAGCCCAAGGTGGATCCATGGAGGAGATCCTTTTAATAAATCCCTGCTTTACTCTTTAGCTCTGTCCAGCCCCTGTTCTAGGCCAGCCTTCATAAGGCACAGTGCCCTCAGCTCCTTTCTCAGGGCCCATCAGGGAGACCCATCAGCATCTCTGAAAGGTTCTGAAGGAAATAATGAACTAAAGTGCTGCACAAGAAGTGTCTCAGGTCCCTGGGAGGCACTGGGCTCCTCTGGCAGCTCAATAAAGAAATCAAATCCTATTTCCTTTGGTTACAACCCCCCAAAGATGACAGACCCAGAATCTGAGCTGAGGCACCCAGTCTGAGACACCACCACAAGGAACCTTCCAAGCCTAAGCACCCATCATCATTTTTTAGATATCCAACACCATCAGCCTTCCAGAGAGCCAAAATCTCCTGTCCTCCTCAGAAAATGGACTCCTGAAACACCAACCAGACTCATTTATTAAAAAGCTGAAAGCACCCACCCCAGCCTGATGGGTTTGCCTGATACAAGCCTGTTTGTTTTCAAATGCCCATGGCTACAAAACAATTATTGCTTTCACAATAGTGTCTTTCTTATTAAAAAAGGGAAAAGGGAAATAAAAAACCCACAACATTCCAAGCTCTTTATTTTTCCATCCCTTTAAAAAAAAAAAAAGGCGCTAAGCAGAGGTTATATCAAATTTCCTGCTGCTCCCAGCTTGCGTGACTGGGCCAAGCATGGGGGCAGCCAGGGCACTGCAGAGGTGTTTGCAGGACCACAGAATGATTTGGGGTGAAAGGGACATTAAAGCTCATCTCATCCCACCCCCTGCCATGGGCAGGGACATTTTCTACTATCCCAGGTTGTTCAAAGCTGGCCTTGGGCACTTCAGGGATCCAGGGGCAGCCACAACCTGTGCCAGGGCTCCCCACCCTCACAAGGAACAATTTTCTCCTGATATCTAATCTAAATCTCCCCTCCTTCAGCTTAAAGCCATTCCCCTTGTCCTGTCACTCCAGGCCCTTGTCCCCAGTCCCTCTCCAGCTCTCTTGGAGCCCCTTCAGGCACTGGACAGGGCTCCAGGGTCTCCCCTGAGCCTTCCCTTCTCCAGGCTGTGCAGCCCAGCTCTCTCAGCCTGTCGGTGTTCTGTCAGATTTCCAGGCTGAGAAATGGGCAGGTTTGTGGGCAGTGGAAGCAGTCCAGAGGAAATAGCTGTGTCTTAAGCAGTTAAGAGCAGAACTAAAGTTTCCATCACAAAAAGAATAGAAATAATATCAGGAGCAATAGAAGGAGGTGGGAATGCTGCAGCTCAGCTGGGTGCTGCTGACAAGCCAGGCTCACAGAGGGGCTGCCCAGCCTCTTGTGCAGCTCCTGTTTATCCTTCTTTGTGAACAGCAAAGAATCACAGTGAACAGCAGCTCCAGCCAGGGGAACACAGCAGCACCCTGGGCTTCCCCTGCCCTGAACCTTTCAAAGCCATGCCACTGATTTGGGGCTTTAATGCAGCAGAGAGGCTGGAAAGAAAATGTAATCACCCTCCTCCCAAAGGGCTCCAGCATCACTGTCCCTCTCCTGTCCCCTGGATCCTGCCCAGCTTGGTGCTGCAGCACACAGCTGGATGCTGCTGGGGGGTATTTCCAGGAAGAAAAGGGCATTTGTGGGTGCAGCATCCCTGGAGCAGCAGCTGGGGGCTTGTGGGGCAGACAGGTGTGAAGGATTTATCTGCACTGAATTTTCTGCAGTGTCTTTAAAAGAACTACTCATAGAGAAAGGCAGGATTGCTGTCTGTAAGAGCTGTAAACATCAGTCACTATTCCATCAACCAACCCATGGATCAGCATCACTCTCCTCCTGCACTGGAAGCAGCCCCAGCCAACCCACAGCCCCTGGGGACCCCAGGCAGGTCCCCCAAGTAATTAGTGACAGGTTTGGACAGGCCACAGTGCTGAGCCAAGGCACAGAGCCCTGGGGACTGCACCAGGGATGGCAGGGATTGCACATCCACGCTCTGCACAGCCTTTGTGCAAAATAAACCCCCTTCTGTTCTTGCTCCCCAAAACACCAGCAGCCATCTCAGACAGCCAAATATCACTAATCACCCCAAATACCACTGATCACCCCAAATATCACACTAATCACCTCCTCCCAGACATGGGGTACCAGCATCTTTCCCCCCCACCCCCAAGGTCTCCTCTTCGGGATCTGATTTTCAAGTGCCACCTTCCTGGAAAATTAAGGTAGGCTGCATAAAAGGCTGCTGCAAGTTTTAGGAGAGTGATTTAAACATGTGAGAGCAGAGAGAGCTGTGATGCTTCTATTATTATTAATTAATGTCCCTTCTCCTCCTGCCAGGCTCCCACTGCTCCTAGCTCCATGGTTATTTACAGGGTGGGAAGAGGCTGCTCCTGGTCCCTCCCTGCCCTGGGGGATGTGGTGGTCTCAGAGACCCCCAGGTGACCCCCAGTGACACAAACCACAGGTTTGCTCTGCTTTACTAAATGGGTTTGTGGCTTTGTCACTGTAACCTTGGGTGGACTTGAGGTCAGAGCAAGAGCACAAAAGTCTCAACCATCCTGGGTGGACAGGATCACAAAGTCCCCAGCACAAAGCCCCTCATTTTGGGTGGCTCTGGGGGACACAGATTCACCCTGCTGAGCCCTGGGTGTGTCCTGGCTCAGACAGGACCCTGGCCATGAGACCCCAGCACTGGGAGGGACCCAGAGACATGGCACAGCTCCTGAAACCAGTCCTGAAGCCTTTCCAGAGTCCCTTCAGAGCTCCCAGAGCTGATGCCAGCACTGAGACAGTGAGCAGGCCCTGCTCAGCAGCTGCACTCACCCTGTTAATGGGCAACTTAAGGAAATCACTCTCAATTAATACATTTCCCCAGGTTATTGATAGGGTTTTCTGGCTGTTCAGCCCATGGCTGGGCTGGCTGTTTGGCACAGGAGTGTGTCCTGGCCACACCAAGGGCTGCCCAGCACAAATATTTAATATTTACCCACCTGCCACTCACAGGGCCAGGCAGGCAGCCCTGTCCTGCCCACGTCAACACGGGAATCCCTGTTAATTAAACATTAACAGCCTGGCTCTGTGTCCTGGGCCAGCCCTTCTCCAGCATTGTGCCCTGGGAGCCAGGATCCAGCCAAGGGAGTAAACAGATATTGCAACAGGATTATGGGCACACGGGCTGGAGGATACTTTGACTTTTTAATTGCTCTTTTTTGGTTTTTTAAAGTTGCTGAGTTCATTCTGCAGAAGACAATTGATGCAGGAATATCAGCCATTTCCATCAATCTGCAGTTTGTGCACAGCTAGCCAGTGGCCAAGGCCTGTGCCTGGTTTGCAGCACTGTCACAGCTTCCCACCACACTGTCTGTGTGTCACAGAGGAGGGATGCTGGCCAGCTCCTTCTTTTTTTCCCACAGCAACACATTTTCCAAGGTTCTCCTACAAAAACAACACGCCAAAGGCATGTAAAAAGCTTTCCTGACACTCATGGATTAATGGGAAAACTGAGAACTACTCAGAAGGTCCAGGCTTTCCTACCAAGTCACCTCTCCACACGGCCAGTTATGTGGGAGCAAAATTCTCTGGTGGATGAAGAGCCTTCAAACCCTTCACCAAAGCACCCCAGGGCTCCCTCCTTCCATCAGAAATGCTTTTCATGATTCCAGGCTTTGTAATTTTGCATGGTCCAGGATTTCTCACTGGTTGGGTTAAAAACAGGGAGGAAAGAGCAAGAGAGCAGAGGAGGCTGATGGCCATCAGCTCTCTCAGTGTCCCATCCCAGCAGGAAGAAACATTCCCTGGAAAGTGACCCCTGAAATGAGACTGCAACACAGCACCTCCACAATGGTGTGCTGCTAAAAGTGAGTTTCCTAATTACACCCAAGCCAAGAGAATGGGCTCTGTGTCTTCACCAGAGCTGTGTGGTGGTAGCAGTGTGGGGGTGAGCAGGGAGGAGCGTTTATAGGAAGCCCTGAGGGTTTATAGGAAGCCCTGAGGGTTTATAGGAAGCCCTGGGGGTTTATAGGAAGCCCTGGGGGTTTCCCAGGGGTCAGTAGGGATCAAGGCTTCTCTTCACTTAGGTGTAATTAGGAAACTCACTTTTAGCAGCACACAAGATTCTCATCTCTCCCCACGGTGAATTTGTCTGTAAATTCAACACCTCTCAGTGGCCCCATCTCTGATCCAGAAAAAGGTTTAACCCCACACTCCAGACATCTGGTTGGTGGTGAGGGTGCTGGTCAACACCTCTCAGTTTCCCCATCTCTGGGCTAGAAAAGCTAAACCCCACACTCCAGCTCTCCCTTGCCCCTCCTGCCCTGGGCTCTCACCCTGCACACAGACATCTGGTTGGTGGTCAACACCTCTCAGTTATCCCATCTCTGATCCAGAAAAAGGTTTAACTCCCTGCCCTGAGCTCTCACCTTGCACACAGACATCTGGTTGGTGGTCAGGGTGCTGGTCAACACCTTTCAGTTATCCTATCTCTGATCCAGAAAAGGGTTTAACCCCACACTCCAGCCTCTCCTATACCCCTTCTCGGGCCTGGCTCTGACCTTGCACACAGACATCTGGTTGGTGGTGAGGGTGCTGGTCAACACCTCTCAGTAATCCCATCTCTGATCCAAAAAATTGGCTTAACCCCACTCTCCAGCCTCTCCCCTGCCCTGGGCTCTCACCCTGCACACAGACATCTGGTTGGTGGTGAGGGTGCCAGTCAACATCTCTGTTTCCCCATCTCTGATCCAGAAAAGGGTTTAACCCCACACTCAGCCTCTCACCCTGCACACAGACATCTGGTTGGTGGTCAGCGTCCCCGTCTTGTCGGAGCAGATGACCGAGGTGCAGCCCAGGGTCTCCACGGAGGGCAGGCTCCTGACAATGGCGTTCTTCCTGGCCATCCTGCGCGTCCCCAGCGCCAGGCAGGTGGTGATGACGGCGGGGAGGCCCTCGGGGATGGCGGCCACCGCCAGCGCCACCGAAATCTTGAAGTAGTAGATGGCGCCGCGGAACCAGGAGCCGCCGTGCACGGGGTCGCTGAAGTGGCTGATGTTGATGACCCACACGGCGATGCACACCAGGAAAATCACTTTGGAGAGCTGCTGGCTGAACTCATCCAGCTTCTGCTGCAGGGGAGTCTTCTCAGGCTCCGTCTCCACCATCTGGTTGCGGATCTTCCCGATCTCCGTGTACACCCCCGTGGCAATGACGATCCCCACGGCCTTGCCAGCTGCAATGTTGGTGCCCTGGGGGGGAGGAAGGGAGGAGAGTGGATATGTGGGTATGAAAACCCTTGGTTGGAGCAGGGAAATGGGTAGCTCTTTGTGAAAGGGAAACGGGTTGCTCTTTTTCCCCCTTGCTTAAGGGGAAAATGGGACATCTTGAGTTTTTTATATAAATCCATCCTAAGGAACAGGAGAGCCCTTCTTGAGTGCTGTAACCCCTCAAGGACTCGGCTTCTGCCTGAGAAGAACATGAGAAGGGAGGAAACCCAAATTTGCAATAGCTCCAGGCTCAGCACAAACCTCTTCCCCATCCATAATGCATGGGTGGAAAAAGTGCTCTGAGATTTCCCAAGGTATTTAAAGGCCTCATGTGCCACAGCCCAGATGGAATCCAAATGAAGCAGGTTCTTATTTTTATGGATTTGGGGCTCTTTTTATGGATTCAGGTCTTACGCATGCACTCCCTTTCTCTGCTCAGAGATCTCCCACATCCACCAGCAGCCTCTGCACTTTGGAAAACCACAGGAGAGGTGGAGTCAGGTGTAAGGGACTTACAGAGAACAGCATGTTCTTCTTGTCCTGGTTGACAGCCCGGGGATCAGGGATGGGGTCAGCGTGTTTGATCACCGACACCGACTCCCCTGCCAAGACAAGAGGGGAGAGATGGACCATCCATGTTCCCTCTCCAGCCTCAGCTCATCCCTGTTCCAAGCCTGCATCACACAGTGCTCTAGAGCAGCACTTTGCCACCAAACCATCCAAACATCCACCACAGGGTTTGGGCTTCGGTATTTTGGGTTTTGGGCTTTGGGGTTTTGGGTTTGGGATTTGAAGTTTTTTGGGGTTTGGGGATTTTGGGGTTTTTGGGTTTGGAGATTTTGAGGTTTGGTGGTTTGGGATTTGGGGGTTTTGGGGTTGGGGAACTCTGGTTTTGGGATTTGGGGTTTGGGGGTTTTGGTATTTTGGGTTTGGGGTTTTGAGCTTTGGGGTTTTGGTGGTCATGGTCAAGGTGGTCACAAGGTCCAGGTGGTTCCTCTCAGAGTGGTCACTCTCAAGGTGGTCAAGGTGGACAAGGGGTCAAGGTGGTCACTTAAGGTGGTCAAGGTGGTCCCAAGGTCAGGTGGTCACTCTCAAGGTGGTCATGGTCACAGGGTCAAGGTGGTCACAGGGTCAAGGTGGCCCTAAGGTCCAGGTGGTCACTCTCAGGGATGTCCAACCCCACCAACGACACAGCAAAGCCCCAGACTTTGTTCTCTGCAGGAAGGACACCCAAGCACCAGACACATCTCACCTGTGCTGTGGCTTTGAGGACCTGAGAAGGTCCAACATCATCTAAATCTTGCTCTTCCACCCCTTCCCACCCCAGCAAAGCCCTTATCCCAGCATCAGCTCCAAGGCTGGCCTCCAGGAAGGCAGCAGGAGGCAGCTGCCCCTGCCCCAAGGCCCACACTGACCTGTGAGGATGGACTGGTCGACCCGCAGGGTGGTGGAGCGGATCTCGATGATCCTGATGTCTGCTGGCACCTTGTCCCCAACTGCAAGGACAAGCACAGCAGCTCTGCCAGGTGGCACTGGCAGCACCCAACACCCCAGGAATGGGCACAGCAAACCCCCAAGTGAGCCCAGCCATGTGCAGGTGCACAGCAGCACCAGCCTGGAGCAATGAGGGCTGCAGCCCCTGGCAAAGGCTCCTGCACTGGGATCCCCAATTTCTGCATTTACAGCTTTGTTAAAGCTTCATTTGGTCTGTCTGTAATTTACAAGTCTGCCCCCAGCCATACCCTGCTGGTGCCCTGCCTGCTGTGCCTCATCCATTCCCCACCATGTCCCTGTCTCTCCTCTTCCCTGCAAACTCCCCCTGCACCCCCATTTGCCTCTTTCCTGCAAAAAAACCCAGAACATCCCCTCGTTGAAGCAATCTGAGCTTCCTAATATCAGTCTAACCCTGCTTCAGGTTTCTCTGGGCTGACTGGAAGCTGTTAACAGTGGAAAATCTTCTGTGGCCAAGACAAACAACCATCCCTGGCTCTCCTGGCATGGCACAGTGGGCACAATGAAAGCTGCCCTATCCACTGCCACCCAACACCACCCTCCAAGGCACTAGTGCTTCCTTAAAAAACCATTTTAAGCTGCTTTTCCTGCTAGGTTTCTTCCCCCTGGCTCTTCCTCCTGCTCCCTTATCGCTGGACACAGCCACGCTCTAAGTTTTGGAAATACTGAGGGGAGTCCTGGCTCCCAGTCCCTCCCATTGCTTACACAACACTGCTGGCCTGGCTGGTAACGATGCTCTAAATCCCAAACTTTAACCTGTGCTTCCTCCCGGGGCTTGTAAACCCCCCAGAGCAGCAGGAGGGGCTGGCACTGCTCCACCACCCAGCCAGTTATTCCAGCTGCAGATCCCAACGCTCCAGGATGCAGCAGCAACATCTGCCAGACCCCCCCTGCTCCCTGTACATCTGTCTGGGGGTGCCAGCACAGATCTCCCCAAAATATCATGCACAGAACTCAGACTCTGCATCTGTCCAAGGGGGCTGGAGCATCCCAGAGGGAGGAAAGAGCTCCTCTCCCCCTGGGAGAGGCAGGAGGAGCTAAACCTGCAGAGGAAAACTCCTGCAACATCTGGGGACAGAGAGAGCCCTGGTGGCTCTTTGCCTTCTTTAAAGGACACAGCCTCAAGCTACCTCAGGGAAGGGATAGGTTGGATATTAGGAAAAAATTTTCACCAAAAGAATAATAAAGTACTGGAATGCTCTTCCCAGGGAGGTGGTGGAATCACCATCTCTGGATGTGTTTAAAAAAAGATTGGACATGGCACTTGGTGCTATAGCCTGGTTGAGGTGTTAGGGCATGGGTTGGACTCTGATCTTAGAGGTGTCTCCCAAGCTCATAATTCTGGGATTCTGTCATTCTGGGATTCTGTCATTCTGGGATTCTGTCATTCCTATCCCACAGAACGGACCTGGCCTGGCCATTATCCAGGTACTGAACATTTGCTGATCCCCCAGCACCACAAATCTCCCCAGAGAAAGAGAGGAAAACAGGGGGACACAGCCTGGCTGTGGGCAGTGGAACTGCCTGAGCACCACAGGGGTCACAGCAACCTCTGGTGCTCCCAAAGGGATGCTCTGCCTGTGCTTTTTGGGAAAGGCAAAAGCTGCCTGCACCAGGACTCACCTCCATGGCCTTGTCACAAAAGGGCAAAACTCAGCTGGGTTTGAGCAGCCTGCCAAGCTCCAGCCACCCCCTCCTTGTCTCAGCCTCACAGGTTTCCTGCTCCCTGCTGCCAAGTTCATTGCATTTGCACATGCAAACAGCAGCCAGCCCCTCCTGCCTGGGCTGTCACACATCCAGGGCATCACCTGCATGTCCACGGCAAGTTCAAAGCTTTTCCTCCTTGTGTGCTTTCCTATCAGGCACCTGACAGCACCCTCAGCACTTTCCATAACCTCCTAAACCCACAATTTGCTAATAATTTGCAAAACCCCTCCAGATAGCCCAGCTCTTTCCATTACAGTTGCAATGCTGATTGTGCCATTAAAAAGTAATATTGGGCTGCTGATGGGCAGGCAGTGTGCACTTGATTTGGGGAAGGATGGCAGAATTGTATTAATAATTCATTAATTTAATTAAAGGCCAGGTCAGCAGCTGGACTGCATTGTCAGAGCTGCTTTGGGAGTGCTGCCAGCTCACCCAGCTGAGGATCTGGCTGGCTTGATCCTCCCTCCACTATTTTTTTATTCATCTTCCAGCTGAAGCCCAACTTGAAGACATAAATAACAGCAAGCTGGCCGGGCAAGGGAGGGATTGCAGCATGTTTCCACCAGCAGGGCCACGAGGAGGAAAGGAGAGGATTAGTTTTGTGGCTCTGGGGGTTTTACGGCATCATTTCAGGAACAAACAGAACAGAATCATTGGAATGAATCCTCCTCAGCTCTGCTGGGGCAGGCAGCAGACCCCCAGGCAAGCTCTGCTCCATGCACAGCTCCAACAGAAGGGCTGGGGGGTACAACCCACCCAGAGGAAAAAGCACCCTGCTCATCCCCCCATTTAGTGATGAGCTCATCAAAGAGCTCATCCCCTCTGCCTGTCACCCTGCCTGGATGAGCAGCCCCAGCTCCCAAGGAAGCCTTCCCACCCAGGGGCCTGCAGCAGCACTCACACCCTGTCCAGGGATGTGTGTGGGAGAGCAGCTTCCAGAAACAGGGAATCTCAGTGGAAAATTAAAAGTTCTCCTTGTTCTTCCAGAAACCCTCCCGAGACACAAAACCTGCGTCAGAAATTGAGATTTTTTTTCTCTTCTCTGCTGTTCTCTACTGCCTGATGCTCAGGAAAGCATGAAGAGCCTCAGCTTTGGGGATGCCATGGCCAGTGCCACCTCCCCATTCAGCCCCACACCCGGGGTGGTGGCACCCACCTGCCACCTCCACGATGTCCCCGGGGACGATGTCGCGGGCGCGGATGCGCTGCACGCCGCTGCGGTCGGCGCGGATCACCTTCCCCATCTCGGGCTCGTACTCCTTCAGCGCCTCGATGGCACTCTCTGCATTCCTCTCCTGCAAGCACACAGGAGCAGAGCTGATGGTGCCAGCAGGCTCCTTCCCACCCACTGCAAAGGCAGGAAAACCCAACCCCAGCCCTGCTTTGGAATCCATTCACACTATGGATGGACCAAGCACCTTCAAAATGATTCCTGCTGGTTCAAACCACCCCAGGTTCTGGACATTGCATGGACTTTTTGGGTTGATCATCTCATTCTCGGTGTGAGAAGCAGCGTGTCCCAACCAAATGCATTTTTCCCCATCCAGCAACCTCACCTCAGATCAAGCTGCAGATGAATAAATGGCTTTATAATGAATAGGTGGAAAAGAGGAGCATCACTGGCTGAAGTGTTTGCTCATCCCCCAGGAGGGACACAGTGAGGTGAGGGGCAGCAGCCATTGTGGCTGTCTGTGGACAGAGCAAAGACCTTCCCTTGGAAAATGCATTTGGCCCAGGAGACAAGCAGTTTTTGCCTGGATAAGTGCAAGATAAGCTCCAACCTGCAAGAATTGCCAAAGAAAGACTGAAAGAACAAGCCAAGAGGCAGCCATATGTGCAGGGCATGGGGAAGTATGGCCAATATGCAAATTGCACCTTTGGAAAATTAATTTCCAGGGGCATGAAGCAACCAGACCTTTAGATGAAGGCTCTGAGCCTCATGGAGCAGACCTAGAGGGCAGCTGTGCCTCACCTGCCACACTCCCACCACAGCGTTGGCAATCAGGATCATGATGATGACAATGGGCTCCACAAACGCCGTCGTGGTCTCCTCCCCTTCCTCAAACCAGGCCAGGATCTGGTGACAAGACAAAAGGAGCACAATGTGGTTCAAACCAGAGCAGCAACATCTTAAGAGGGATGATGCCCACAAGAGCCAAACCACAGGTGGTTATTTGCTGGAGAGGGAACAGCCTGAAGGTGGTCAGACCCACATGGTTTGGTCAAAGAGTGGAATTGCCATGTCCCACAGCTGGAGCCTCCAATGCTCTGCTGGGATAAACTGAGGCACTGAACAAGTGGGGCTGGAGCAAGCAGCCATGCAATGCCTGAATGAGTGCCTGCAGCAGGAAAGCCTCTCCCTGTGTTCAGTACTCCTGTGGGGACACCATGGCCATGAATGAAGCACTGCAGCCCCTCCTGGGCAGAAGGTCGGTGAAGCAACAGGAATAATCAGTGCAGTAAGAGCAGCCCTGCAGAGCAGGGACTGACCTTGTGGCTTCCACCACCCTGAGCCCCCCTCTCCACCCCAAAAGGCCTCATACCATGGTACACATGAAGCACACACACAAATGTTTCCACTCCATTTAACTGCTCATCAATCTGCACTGTGTCAACACAGCAGCACCTCTCTGCTCTGCCCCAGAGGCACTGGCACAAGGACCTGACTTCTGGCACAGGCCTTCACACCTGCTTTACCTGCATTTCCCTGTTTTGGGAATGTATTAAACCCCACAAGGGACCAGCCTTCCCCCTTATCTACCCATGGGCCACATCCTAAAGGAAGAGACAGGAGTCTCAGCTTTGCCATCCTGCTGCCAAACACACTGACTTACACTCCAAAAAACCCCAATTGTTCTCCAACACCTTAGTGGGAAACATCTCCTCACACAGAGATGCTCCCAGGGTAGATAGTGGGCAAAACTGCACTGACAGTTCAGCCCTGGGGCACAGCAAACCAGGCTCAAATCATCAGCCTGGAACAGCCCAGGGAGCTCTTTGATACCACTTTTGGTGCTTTTTGATCAGCATCACTGAAAAATCCTCCAGTCCCATCTTTAAGTAATGCAGTTGCCACCATGCCCTACAAACCACTGCTCTGCTGCTGCATCTCCTCCATCCCACAGGCACCTGCCCTCCTTTCCTCTTCAGATGTCACCTCTGTGTGCCCCAGAAGGTGCCACCCCAAGCTCTGGGTACTCACAAAGGACAGAAAAGCTGCCATCAAAAGGATGCGGACGAGAAGATCTTCAAACTGCTCCAGGACCAACTCCCAGAGGGACTTCCCTGGTGGGAAAACATGAAGCCAAGCACAATCAGTGCTAAAATAAATCCTCAGAAGACAGGTAGACCCCTGAGGCCCTAAGAGCCACAGAACCACATCCCTGCTTGCTTCAGGGCTGCCCCTTGGCCGTGGGCATTGGTGAGGACATGCAGCACTGTGGGGGCTTCTCTCTAAAATGAAATGCTTCCATTTCTGGCACTGCCTTGCTTTCACTGGGTCTGGTTTTAAAAATCCCCTGTGTTTCTATCCACAGAAGTAGCCTCACCACCACAGGGAAGCTCTACTGTCAGCCCAGCTTTCTCTGGGCTCAGATTAAAAGACCAAGATTAAAACCAAGATTAAAAGACCCCAAAGATTCCCTCTGCCTTGTCCCCAGCACACTCTCCCAGACCCAAGGCATGCACTGCCACCTCCAGCCCAGGACTTACCTTCTTCTGCAGGGAGCTCTGTGGGTTTTCATCAACAGCCCAAGGAGCACAGGACAGCAACAAATGATAAAAATAAAAAGATCATTAGTGATTTGGACCCAGGCTAGCAATCCTTTCCCTTATGCCTCACTCAGCACCCCAAAATACAAATTTTTCTGCACAAATTCCCACATCAAGGCAGCTTGTCCTCAAACTTCTCAGTCCAACACCAAGTAAGCAGCCCTGGAAATTTCATTTCCCTGCTCAAGTGGCTCCAGCAGCATTTGTTCCTACACTCAGCCTGCCTAAAAAAATATTCCTCAGGAGCTGCCTTCTCCAAATCCAAGACACAGAAGTGCAACCATCCCATAAAATACCCTGCCAGAAACCCAATACAGCCCCACTGGGGACTGTAACTTTCAGACCATATTTCCTATTAATCTGTTGTACTTTACAGCCTGCAACGCTCTAGGAAACAAATCCAAGGGCGATGCTCAGCTGCTCCAAGCTGCCCTCCTGAAGCCACCCAGGGGGTGCAGAGCCTCCATCTACACTACTGCCAGCCAAAGCCAAGGTCAGGCACCTGCAGAACCTCAGAGAAACCCAGGGGCTTCCAAGCACCCAGCACAGATTGCCCAAAATTCCCACATCCCCAGGAGGGACCGTGACCTTCACATGCAGCCACGACCACTGGACAATGTGATGCCCTAAGATTTGAGCTTTTATATTTTCCAAATATTTCTAATCCTGCAATTCTTTAGTGTTTAACTCCAAACTCCATATAGTGTTAGGCTACAGCTTTCCCATTTTGGTCAGACAAAGCAATTCCTCTCCAGACCTGGCAATCAAGGACACCTCACTGCCTCAGGCTCTGAGAAATGTAAACAAAAGTGAGTTGCAGGGAGCAAACTTGGGGTTAATGACTTCATTACCTGAAGCTGGAAAATTAACCCCCAATTTGCAAATGGACCAAATTTATAAAAATGCGAAAACCTGTGGCCCAATGTCCATTTTGGGTACAGCCCCTGGAGGGCTTCATCTGCCCTAAATGTACCTGAAGGCCCTTCAATAAATATAAATAAACTGCTTTTTATTCTCTTAATTTTGTCTGGCCTCTGGTTTTAGGTCCCAAAAGGCATCAATGCTCAAACCCTGGTTCCCTCCAAGGGAATCCTCCTGCTCCTGGGCAGCCATGGGGGGAGCTGGGCCTGCTGAGGCAAGGCTGGGCCCAGGACTGTGAGGCCCTCACCCAGGGAGGGCTCAGCAGTGACCAAAGAGGAATCCAGGGAGGGCTCAGGAGTGACCCCCCTGATTTTGGGGGCTCATAGGTGCTTGTCTCCACTTGCCCCCATCAGAATCCCAGAGTGGGTTGGGTTGGAAAGAACCTTAAAGTTCATCTTGTTCCAGCCCCTGCCATGGCAGGGACGCCTTCCACTGTCCCAGGGTGCTCCAGGCTCCATCCAGTCTGGTCTTGGGCACTTCCAGAGATGGGGCAGCCACAGCTTTTCAGGGTAACCTGTGCCAGGCCCTCTTCATCCTCACGGGGAAGAATTTCTTCCCAGGCCCTCCTCATCCTCCCAGGGAAGAATTCCTTCCCAATGTCCCATCTATCCCTGCCCTCTTGCACTGGGAAGCCATTCCCCTTGTCCTGTCACTCCATCCCTTTTCCAAATCCCCTCTCCAGCTCTCTTGTAGCCCTTTTAGGCACTGGAAGGGGCTCTGAGGTGTCCCTAGAGCCTTCTCCTCTCCCCACATCTCTCAGGGTACATCTGCACCCCATGGAGCTGACAAGAAACCCATGGCAGCTCTGGGTTAATGGTTAGACTTAATGAACTTAGAGGTTAACTTAATTCTATGATAAAACAAGATGTTTCTCCAACTCCTTGTGTTTCTGGAGGGAATAAGGGACCAGATGAGCCCAAGAGGAGCCAGCCTGAGGCAGACATTGATGCCCCACCACTGTGGCTGTCTGCAAACACCCCCAGCCTGGAGCCCTGAGTGAAAGCAGGAAGTGAAACCTGCTCATCTGTTTTCCATCACCTATTTTCACTCAGAGGAATGAAAAAAAAAAAAAACCAAACCAAACCTACCTTCACCAAACCAACCAGTGAAAACAAGAAACCTGAATGTGCTCATGCTTCAAACTGTACCAGGGCCTCAGTCCTCACGGACACACCCACCATGATCTGCTTTAAACCCACATCCCCCTGGGTCAGGCTGCTCTGAACCCTGCCACTGTGAGACACAGACCAGCACAAAATGCCTATAATTATTTTTATATATATCAAAAAAATTAATCTTGGAGCACCTTTAGTGTTTCAAGTCACTCTACAGAGCATGTCAGAGCAAAGTGTCCTTTCATAGCCAGTTCCTCTCCACCCCCAGCTTCCTCTCCCCAGCCCAGAGAGCCTCCAAAATTAAAAGTAGAAGAGATGTGCTGCTGCTATTTCCATCCAGACTGCACTTTAGGGGTGCAAGAGGGCTGGGGGCAGGCAGGTGCCCTGGGGGAGGCAGCTGGGGCTCCCACAGCTCCTGGCCCAGCCTGGGGTGAGTTTCCACCCTGGGCAGCCACCTGGAACAGCCCAGGGCTCTCAGTGCTGTCCCACACTGAGTTTGCATCAAGAGTGGCAGCAGCACCTTCACAGGGCTGGGGCTTTGCATGAGATCTTGGTGAAAGTTCACCAAAAGGGGTTTGTGTGAACTCAGGAAATGTGCACAAGGCAGGCAGCTGAAGGTCTGCACAGTGACACTGCCTCCTTCACCAAACCTCAAAGGCAGCAATGCTGCTGCAGGCACCTCTCAAACCCCCAGGTTTGAGTACAGGCAGCTCCTGCTCTCAGTCACTCCTCCCTCCACTCTTCAAGGGGCAGCTCAGCACCCAACACCCAGAGAAAAAGGGCTGAAAGTCACAATAAGTTCATATTTTTGGGTGAGAACTGATAAAAACACACTGGAAAACAGGAAATTTTGGGGCTGAAGCTTCTCCCTGACACATCCAAAGCCTCACTAGAAATAAGAGGGTTTGCTACTCCCCAAACCCCAAGTTCTGTGTGAGTCAGCAGCAGTGCTGCCATGTCCCATCCTGCAGGGAAACCCACCCCAGGCAGGGACCAGGAAAAGCCCAAATCTGTCATTCCCTTGGGACAACATGGTGAGTGGAACCAGGCTGGAATGGAAACTCCTGGCTGGCACCTGAATAGCCCCTTTCTTTGAAATCCAGCCCTGGGCAGGAGCTCCCAGCCAGAACACAAATGCAGTGACACCACCAGGGGTGGAAAGCGGCAATGGGGGCTCAGAGAATCCCAAAATGGGTCACCCACATGCACCATAAATACCCAGCCTCCCCATCACAGGACCTGCAGCTGGACACATCTGTGGTTCCTCTGCTCCTGCTCTCCTGCATGGCAGCTTTGGAGAGCAGAGACAAGAAAGAGGAGACATCCCAAGAGCTGCTTTTTCCTGCGTGCCAGGTGAGGTTTGCTCACACCGGCAACAGCCACTCATTCAGGGCTGCTTCAAAAGGCATCAGAAAGATCAAATAAACAAGATACAACTCCTCTCCCACGGCAAACACCACTGGTTTGCTGTTCCTGTCATTCCCCAGCCTTCACCCCTGCTCCAGCCGTGCCCTGCTTTGCAAAAGCCCAGAACCCTTCTGGCTGGGGGATCCACTGCCCCAAAAATAAGCAAATTCAGTCAAATTAAACAAATTCAGATGTCACAGCAAAAGAGCACTGTCCCCTCTGGGTTAAGGCATCACCACCACCTCAGAGGGCTTTGCCTTGCAGGGACACATCCACAGCTCCAGGGATACTGAGCATTTGCAGCTTGCTCTGAGCTTGTCACATCATGACATCTCTCTTTGCTGTGCCACCACATCTGTGGTGATGTTTGGTCCATGCCAGGGTGCAAAATCTCCACACAAGATGCTCCAAGGAGCCTGGGCACGCTGGGCAGCGTGGGGCTGGCGTCGGGCTGTTCCAGCAGGAGGTGAATCTCCAGCTCTGCCAACTCAAACAGGGCTGGCAGCCCAGAGCTGGCGCCTGCAGCATGGCAGGGCACGGCAGTCAGGTGATGAAAAGGTAAATAAACAGTGGTGCCACCCAGGAGCACAGCACAGCTCTGCCCAGGCTCTGGGACAGCCCCGTGTGACGACAGTGCTCACAGGGATCCCAGCATGAGGGAAGAGACAAGGATCTGACTACATGTTTCAGAAGGCTTGAGTTATTATTTTATGATATATATTACATTAAAACTATACTAAAAGAATAGAAGAAAGGATTTCATCAGAAGGTTGGCTAAGAAAAGAATAAAAAGGAATGATAACAAAAGCTTCTGTCTTGGACAGAGTCTGAGCCAGCTGACTGTGATTGGCCATTAATTAGAAACAACCAACATGAGACCAATCACAGATGCACCTGTTGCATTCCACAGCAGCAGATAATCAATGTTTACATTTTGTTCATGAGGCTCTCAGCTTGTCAGGAGGAAAAATCCTAAATAATTATTTTCCATAAAAGATGTCTGTGACAGCCCTGCTCTCCCAGCCAGAGCAAACACACACCAGGACAGGCTGGCACTGGGGGAGCTTCAGGGAAATGTTTGAGTTTTTCCTGCTGTAACAGGACTAAAAAATCCCTGGAGCACATCCCTGCACAGCTGGTGTTTCTCCATCGTGCACTGATCCCACTCTGCTCTGGGGAAAGTGAGGAACAAGGTGACACTCTCAGAGGCCAGCACATGACAAAACAACTCCTGGTGCACATTCCAGGGTGCAATCCACAACAGCAAAATTCCATTTCCCTCACCATTTCAGGAGCTTCCCTTTGATAAAATCAGATTTCCCTCATGGGAAACCCTTCTGCCCCCAAATGATGTCGGAAGAGCATGATGCCCTCTGGGAGAATAATGATGAGCATCACGTCCAGGCCCAGCTTTCTGCTCTAAATAACTTTATTCAAGCTATATTTCTATGTTGTTATCACTTTTTTTTTTTTTCCTCACTGCCTTTAGTATCTTTTCCCTTATGCAAGGAAGGG